CAGTCTTGTAGGCGCTACGCGTTTCACGCCGACGCGACCGACCGCTGCTGACCGCACTGTTCTTGACGCAATGCGTGAAGTATTCGTGGAGTCTTGTAGGCGCTAATATGTGTTACATGCCGAGACCGCCATGCCGCGCCGATGGCTTCCCCTTTTCATCTCAAGTCCTTGTCATCATTGCTATGTGGGCCGCGCCGCTCCAGGCCAAATTGCATGTTTGGTTTCTCTAATAACTCGACTAATTAAAGGTGCTATCTCTTGTACCACCGCTAGATGACAAAATTAGAAATTATTATACTCTCAGGAAATGAAAGATTTTGTCGCCTCTTCTCGTATGTAATTTATTTTATACCTGCATTTAAAAAAATTGCAAAATTTGCCGCCATGGGCCGCGGCCCATGTGGCCACCCCCTAAATCCGGCCCTGATTTACTGGGAAAATTATGAATGTTTTTCTTCAATTTTATCAGACAGTTTTGTTCGCAATTTCGTCTAAAATGTCTGAAAATTGCAGTGATAAATACGCATATTCTTTCTCAAAAATGCATGTTTTATCCGAGATGATTTGGCAACTCTCGAATGTTCATACGGCGGTCTTCCTTAGCACGGCAGAGGTGGTCCGATGTCCGGTCTCTGCGAAAGGCCAAATGCCAGCCAGTGTTACGTGGATCGAGTCCACAAAACAAGTGGGATAAGTCTTTTCCGACAAATCATGTTTGATAAAAGCCCGTCGCAAGAGGGACAAAAGGTATACACATTTGCGCGCGGTGCAGCCAGGAGGGGGTGGGGGTGGGGGCTTGAGCCCCTCCCCCCTTCCCCTGAAAGCAAATGAAATGGTTTTTTCTCTCAAAAAAAAAATTCCGCGGGAGATCCGCGGTCCCCCTTATTCTGAGGGTGGCAGACCTCCCTCCCCCCTCACCAGCTTAAGCCTCCCCGCCCCCTCCCGGAACAAATTCCGTGCCTGGTGGGTGCCAACCGCGAGAGCAACGAATTTACATTTTTTTTAAAATTTATTTAATTTCTCACAGATTTCTATATTTATTCTTCCCCTCTATCCTTGTTGCCTTTTTCCTCCTCTTCTCCTTCCTATTCCTCTTTTTTTCCCTTTTTTCCGTCTTCCCACTCTCCTTTTGTCTCCCCTAGTTTCTCTTCTTCTTCTTCTTATTCTTCTTCTTCTTCCTCTTCATCCTCTCCTCCTTCTTCCTCTCCTCCTTCTTCTTCCTCTTAACTTCTTCTCCTTGTCTTCCTGCCGTTAATTGGTCTGGAGAGGGGGCGCGCTGAATTTGTTATTCGCGTAGTCAACAATGTACCTCCGCGACAGCCCTGGTTTGATGTAACTACCTCTATCACAATTTGCGGACAAAATGATAAGATAACTATATTACCGCAAACATTTTGTTGACCCTAATATAGACTCTATAACGATGAGCTAATGTGGGACGATTTGAGCCAACCGCTGCATCTGTGACGCTCTCATCTGGAACTGACCAGCCCACTATAAGTCGATGCACGTGCTTTGATACGGGGAGCTAAGGAGATTTGACCCCTCAGAAGCCAAGGAACAGAAGTTAGTTTGCATCCTACCGCAGAAAAATTTCGGAGAGGAAAAGGATGTGCGAAAATAGCTTAACGAGTTTAATGCAGGAGACCGATCAGCTGTCACTTTCACAAAATAGCCCTAAGATGTGTGTACAACGGTAAAAATTTTGAAACATTAAAAAAAAGGGCGAATGGAATTGCCGACTGTTAGCTGTAAGTTCTGCCTCGCTAAGAAAGGATTAGAGAGAGGTGTTTCCTTTAAGAAAGCTTTCAAGAAAGGATATAGTCAAGGTTAGAAACAAAAATATCGCGAAACACTCATTCTCATGAAGATTGCACTTAGTGCCTGATGAAAAAATCTAAAAATTCAAAATGCCCTATAAAGAGAGAAAATAGTGTTTCCGCATTATTTTTTTAAAATTCAATCTTCCCGCATGCCAAAAAACCCAAGTCCTCTTAAGTCAAATAAACGAGCACTTAATTAGTTCCAGTACACTTTGCAATAAAATTTTGTCTTATTCAGCTGGCTGACTTTTTCCTGAATGCTGAATTTAATGAGGTACCATGTATCAAAAAATACGGAGGAGCATTTTATGAAACTAGACTTAAGTTATTTTATGGACGTATTAGTTTGTTTTAAACTGTCAAAATGTATGTAACTGGCCAGAACCTCAGGTGATTATAATTTGATTTTTTTTTTTTTTTTTTTTTTTTTTTTTTTTTTTTTTTTTTTTTTTGAGTGGGGACTTTAAATTTACTACCTAAACTCAAACAATCATTACTAACGGAATTTATTTTGGACTGCGTAAACACGTTCTGCGTGAAATTTTTATGAGGAATCATATTTTGCGTTGTTTTAAAGTTCGCTCTGTTCAGTAGTTATAGTCTCTCTGCTCAACGCGGGTGTCCGTGTTGCATGTAATTAAAATGAAGGCGCCCTCGTTTTTCTTGTGCTCACAGTGCGTGGCGTTACAACTTACAAGTAGCATAGAAGCCTTTGCTTCTCATTACTGTTTTCCCTTCCACCTGGCGTGAACGCAGACCACTCATAAAATAAGTAATGATGGAACTCAACTCATGGACGGAAAGTTATTTTATCGAGGAGACTCACTTGCATTTTTTCTTTTATGCCCCTTCACAAAAGAAAATAAAAGCTTTGATTTCTTTGTCTTCATTGGGGGGGGGGGTTAGCCGGAGGGGCCTAGTAATGTTTATCGATTGGGGTTATTCACATTAGTACCCTTAATACTCGTGAAAAGCCTAAAACTGTTGACAGCGATAATTAGAGGGCTATGTAAGCGAATTTACTACGATAACCTTATTCGATATTCCATGTTTTTGTAAGGTGTCCTCAAGTTAAGGACTATCGGTATTACACCAGTAGTGGCGTGGCGGCGTGCATGGCTTTTTTCGCTGTATATCGTTTGATCTGCTATTTAAAGGTAAGGAAAAGGATCGATAAATAGGGCGGGTGTTCGCAACGAATATCTTAATGGTCGATTTTTCACCATAGCTTCAAATTGGGAAATATCGACCGTTCACGTTTCGCCACTGGATTAAACTTGGTTAAAAAAACGCACTTTCCTCACACAATAATATCTACGAGCTTACGAGTCAAGTGCATGTAAAATAATGAAACGCATTTATACTGGTTGTTAGGTACAGGGTGTTCCAAGGTTAAAGGACTCTATGAAAGAGTGTTCTGTAAGTAAAACAAGACTTTGTGCATCGTTTTTTTCTTTTCTTTTGAGAGTGGGGACTCCCAGTCGGAATCTACGTCCCCCTCAAATTTTTGGGAGAGTCTTCATTTTTTCCTGAATCCAGGAATCCACGAAAAAAATAATTTTCGTTACACGGTAAAAAATTTTGTGGCAGTCCGCAGTATCCGCCCGCCGAGAATTTTGGCAGCTGGAGCCGAGATTTGTGGTCCCTGCCGACGAAATGCAGAACTGCCGAATCCTCGGTAGCATGTGCCGAACTTTCGGCAAATCTGCTGAATTTCGGCAGCCGGGACCGCAAATCTCGGCTCCAGCTGCCAAAATTCTCGGGGTGCGGGTCCTGCCGCAAATTTTTTTTACCGCGATATTGTAACTAATGTTGCATAGTGAATTCTGGGTCCTATCTACTCCTTAGTTGTAGCCACGATGATACTATTGTGATGAGTAACAATTATTTTGGTCGCTATATGAAAATACCGAATAGACCAGAATAATTGTCACCATTCGCTTCGTTTTTGCGCCACATACAAATAAAATCTTACCCGTACGTGAAATCCACCTCAACCTCAAGATTCTGATATATTTTAGCGCTAAAGATTAATTGGATGCTATGAATTTAAGTGGTGATTGCATTTTTTATGAGTTTTAATTCATATTTGTCACCAAATTCAGTAATAACTGTGTTCTTCCCATAAAAAGTGTGCGGGGAGGCATAAGAGCTCTGACTAAGGACACTGTTTGAAAAACACTTTTTTCATTATAGGTAAGAGTATTATTTTGACCCATACTGCCGTGCTAAAGAAAAACGCCGTATGAGCCATTATACGTTGTCATATCTCTTCAACAAAAAACAAATTTACTAGAATAATAAATTGTAAATGGTTTTTTTTTTTTCAAATTACTCGGACAATTTTCTTCGCCATTTGATTCAAAATATCTGAAAATTTCGAGAAAGAATATGCACAATTTTCTTCCAAAATAAACTTCTTATGGCGAGAAATTTGACAACTCTCGAATGTTCATATACGGCGTTTTTCCTTAGCAAGGCAGCATAGAGAAAAAAATGAGGTGTTTGCATCTTGAGGTTTGTTTACCCTATGACGTAGGTCGGTACAACCTGGCCAGCGAAATCCGGAATTCGAAATATGAAAAACGGACCATAATGTCCGATTTTTTTACTTAAATCAACTCATTATATAATTTCAAGCACTTATTGTAGCGTGACTTCTTTTCTTAAATTACACCATTTCCAAGAAAATCGACAGGATAAACGTCGCTGTACCGACCTACGTCATCAAATCATCAAAAAAATTCCAAGATGCCCGAAATGCAAACACCTCCTTTTTTTCTCTACGGCAAGGCAGCATAGAACACGCTCTTGCCCTGTGACCGTTTAACCGCGAGACACCCTGTATAACTGCCTCTTGGACAATATGTAGATGGGCTTGTTTTACATAAATGCGACTAGTTGCGGGTGCGCGCAACATGCAGAAACTCTAAATTGCATAATCGGGAACTGTGGACTGGGGAACTCGCACGGGTCGAGCTTAAAAATGAGTGGGCCTTAAAGAAGATCATACCAAACAAAGCTCAGGACCTTGGTCTTGAAATTCACCCGTGTCGCCTTCTCGGCTGTGACTGTGAGCGTGTTCAAATGCATGCGCTTCAATGTGTGTCGCCGCTCGTGTGTGCGCGGGCGAGCGAGTGTGTTAGTGCGCGCGCGATCTACCGGTCGCGGCTGGACGCTGGAGGCGTGTCAGGGCTGGACCTTATAGTCATCAAAACAGCTAACCCAAGTCATGGTTACCAGTAGTGCTTCCTCTGTTTTTGTGTCGGCAACACCTTCACCATGTTTGTGAGTTCCGCTTGTGTTTATACTTTTTTTCGCCTTTTTCCGTTTTCGCACGGCTTGTGCATTTGAATCCTCACTTATGTGTACCTCCACCAATTTTGCGGCTTGTTCTCAAGATGCGATTGTTTTATATTTTGCGGTTTATTCACTCTCTATTTATTTTGAAAAATTAGTCAACAATTAAAATTGAAATAATGTACGTGAAAGAAATGCACTCGCCGTTGACAAAGGTCGCCTTTCTCAATCAGGCGGCTCACCGAAAATAAATCTGATCTAAGTTTATTTTCCTACCTAAGCGTTAAAGTCTCTTAAGTTATGGGGGTTCTCTTAAATAACATGCACGTGGCTAGCTAAAACACCAATCATTAAGTCGCTATGTGAAAAGTAATTATATTAAATTAAATCTACTAAGTTAGCATAACAGCTAACAAAAATAGTAGAGCGTGTATCTATAACAATTATTGGACTGAATGGGTCTTTGATCCGATACCTGTTACTCGCACGTTAAGAATAATGATGGGTCCATCGTAGGTACCAATGCACATTTATCGGTGAAAAATTCCGTCTTATTTGGTTACTTCTCTCCCTTTTATCTCATTATTGTATGAGAGTCTATTGTGTATACTTTAGCTCTTACTTCAGACTTGTAAACTTTTGGGAAAGTTTCAAGTTAGTATGTACGGTTTGGCCTACCTAGTGGGCAAAAATTTAAAAAGAAAGGGTCGTGGTAGAAGAAATCTTGCAAAATCGGTAACGCTGGTTTTTTATGTAAATTCATGCATAAAAATACAATGATCGAGCCAGCCGGCCCTGATATCCCCGCAAATTGTCTTAAATCCAATCTTTTTTTAATTAAGACTGTCAAAAAAAAAGATCTGCTTTAAGTTTCTTTTCCTATTTACGCTTTGAAATCCCATAAATTGCGGTTCTCTCGATTGAAGACAGCGGATTTTTCAATTAATTTAAAACTCGCTAAAAAAATTCTGCTTTAAGTTTGTTTTCCTGTCCACGCATTAAAGTCTCCTAGGTTAGTGTTTCCTTGATCAAAAACCGCGAAGTTTTTCAATTAATTTTAATGCATTTCTATCTTCCCCCATCATGAGGAATTTAAAAGATAAATACGAAAACGATACATCTGTTTTTCTTTTACGTTCTTTTTCATCCGTCGAAGGTATATCACACTTTTAATACGAATCCTAATTTCTTGAAGATCATTTTTGGAGACTGTGGTCTGGCAGAGCGCAAGTGGCTAAACTGAGCCGTAGTTAATAGGATCTGTTGAAAAAGTTGTTCCTTGAAAAAGAATAAATCTTTGCTGCTCAATGGCTCAAATAACATCTAGTTTCTCCGAAGACCCAACCACAATGTCATGTGGACATATAAAAATCAATCTGGCAGTAGTTGTCATGAATCGATTCAGCTAATTTTAGTTTCCGATCTCTGAAACTCCAAATATGGCAAGTCACCGTTTTGCGATGTGTATTGACGCATTTCCGATGAGAGAGTTCCTAAACCCCTACTGTGCCACCAAGTGTGCATAATGTGCAAGACGATAGAGAAAGCATAAGCTCCATGAGGTATGAATGAACAGGGTTATAAGCGAAATAACGCTACTTGAATACCAGGCTCGGGTAAAATTTTTGAGACAAAGGGATCATGATAGAACGCGGGTAGAATGCCGATAGATATCGAATGAGCTGAACACTGACTTTTTTTTTTAAGAGGCTCCCCCGTACGACCAACTGATTAAAAGGACAAGGCTATAAACAAGGAAAAAATTTGAAAAAACTCCGTTGAAAGACACATTTCATAAAATTTTGCATACATCACAAAAATCTGCTCACTAAATCACTTAAAGGAAGGGGACCGCCTTAAAGCAAGCACAGATGGAAAAGGCGAAACCATGCCCCTCCGTTTGCGACGTTGCATACTTCCTTTCATACATTAATTTTTCCTTGGAAAACTAGTCATTGTAATTTCTTCAAAACTTTCTTGACTTTTTTCTCTGTTAGCGGAATTCTTTATACATTTTGAGCTGAACACTTAGCTCGCTCTCAGAAAAAATATAAGGCGCGAAAATTCTGAAATGCCGCGAAGGAGAAAAAGTAAGATGGTCTAAGTATTATATCGCGTCTTATACTCACCTCGAATTACGACGGCGAGGCGCGGAACGCCTCGAAGGAGGAGTTGGACCGCAAAGCGGTCATGGGGCGTACCCCCTATTTCTTAAAAAAAAATTAATCACACAATACGTTAAGGGCTTTTTTTTTGTTTAGATTTCCTTCACTGGAAAAAAAACAATTGGATCTAGAGTCCAGACTCTTAAAAACATCGACAAGAAAAAATACTCTTGATTCAATCAGATTTAAGCTTAAATCAATAACCAAGCCTCTTAATTTGAGCGGATTTCCCTTTGATTTAAGCTTAAATCTGATTGAATCAAGAGTCCTTTTTCTTGTCAATGTTTTCAAGAGTCTGGACTCTAGATCCAACGTGTTTTTTTTCCAGTGTTGAGGAAAATCAAACATACTCGGAGATTTTTAAATGTCGCAATTGAGATACGCATTTTTCGCATTTAACCATTAATGTCTAAATGAGGAATTAAATCGAATCAGCGTGAAGACGTCTTTTAATAGATGCAGATCTAGCAATTTGGCAACACCGGGTTTTCTCCATTTAAAACTATGTTAAGTAATCGATTCTTGTAGGAGCACCTGGCCCCTCCAAGAATCGATACATTTCCATAGGTTTAATGGAGGAAACCCGGTGTTGCCCAATTGCCAGATCCGCCTCTGTACTTTTAAGCCAGCAATTCTTTTAGGGTAGATCCGAGTATCTTTCACTCCTCACCCCATATTTAGCACTTTGCATTCGTTCAATTAAAGCCTGAATTTCAATCCAAATATGGTCTGCTGCCCGGCCTGAGCTACTACGTCGAATGAGGAAAATTCCTGATGAGCTGTTTGGTCAATAGCGTAACCCCTGTCAGTCAGAAATGCAAAGCCCTAGTTACGTTGGCGTTAAAAGATGAAATACTCGGAAATACAAAGAGGAAACTTAAAAGAAGAAGAAGCTGAGAAAAATGTTAAAATAAGTGAATCAGGACATCTTTAGTTCGTCCTTACGAAAAACATCCACTTCGTACCTTTAAGTTTTTTTACACTTCAATTCACTGAAAAAAAAGAAAAAAAAATACGAAAATTATTCATGAAATTTGAGTTTCTTATGTTGCATACTTTGCAGTTCATTTTGTGTTTAGCACCATTAATAGTGATTTTTCGAATTTGACAAAATTTTGATTCCAACTTTGTTTCATTTTTTTTTGCGTCTCATAAATTTAATAAATTAAATAGCAAAAAGGGTTTCCTGCAGGCCCTATCAGAACGACCTCATGGGGATATTGCACCGGCTCCTATATGGGATCCATTGACGATCGACCGAGGTCCCTCTGAGAACTTTGCGACAGAACGTTTCCGTGGGGGCCCATGAGACTCCTACGGACTTAAATGGGAATTTCACGGGGGCCCTATGAACCCATGGATCTCTACGGGTTGAATCAGGAGGGAGCCATCTGGGAACCTTGAGGATTCCTTTAGGCCACTCTGGCTGCCTCATCGGTTCCTGTCGGTCTCTTTATTCAACCCACAGAGATCCATGGGTTCAAATGGCCCCCATAAAATTCCAAGTTGGGTCCATGGGAATCTCATGGGCCCCCTTGGGGCCGTTCTGACAGAGAACTGGGGACTCGGACATTTTAACAATTTTTTCACTTGTTTAATGTTTAAACTTAACAGCCAACGCTACTTTGTGGCATTTTTCCAGTCATCCTGCGCTTCACCTCGCCCCTGAAAATTGTTCTTCAACCGAACAGACATTTTTTGAGGTCGTCTCACAATTATTTTTCGGCGCCAGATTTTTTTTTTTAGAAGAACTAACAACCGCTTCCGAAGACTAGATCTCCCACTTCCGCAAATTTGACAACAATTTGAAGCTGCCCGCGCAGATCTAGATCCGGGCGAGAAGATGCAAGTGAGTAGGCGGTTGTCAGTCCTACACCACTTGACGCGGCGTATTTGTTTATGTTTTATATACAGCTGATCAGCGCCGTGTTGCCGCTGAGCTTGTTAAAGTTCACCCACTCAAAGCTGCGTATCCTCAAGAAAATTTGCAAAGAGCCATTGAAGAATCGGCACTCAGCTCTGCTGTCATGTCTTAATCGCTCCCCGCACGCGGATTCACGCGGGCGAGATTCAGACCTTGGTCAATCCCGACGATTTGAATTAGCTACTTGTNGGCGCCAGTGCGTCGCCGCTCCGCTTTGTGTTAAGCTCTAATATTTAATCTCGCGGAGTCAGCGTTTTTCAACTCATGATTTTGAAATGTTTGCACACTCTGTATGGACTATTCTCATTTTAATTGATGAAAAAAAAAAAAAAATTAAAGGAATATATAATGTGTGTTTTGTAAATATTAAGGTAGTTCCTTATCAAACATAATGATTTCCAAAGCACACGAATTTCTACACAATTTCTTATAGCCTTTGGCGATAAAGTGTAAAGCCCGGCGATAGGAACTATAGCCCGGCTGCATAATTTTTTATCGCTTCGTATAGCCCGGCCGTATGATTTTCTCCGCATTCTACAGCCAACTATATGATTTTCTGTAGCCTTCTCCAGCCGGCCATAAGAATTCCTGTGGTATTTTGAAACGCAGCTCATATCGCCAATTTTTACCAGGGTATAGTCATAGGTATTGAGCTAAAATCTTGTTATTTTTTCTTAAAACTAATTAAATGAATGAACAATTCAGCGATTCTTTGAATCACATTACTAACATATTAAGAGCTTCAGTAGGTTTTAAATTCGCTCGTCCTTCCGCACGCAAGAGTTCCAGCCAAAAAAAGTTCTGTTCGTAATATGGCTATGGTAATGTCAACCACCTGACGCTATGAAGGTCTGGTTGAATCTCCAAACGTAGGTTTCGCGACGTTGACGCATAGTGCAATTATGGTTTCTCAGCATGCGATGCTAGTTTGTGTGCAGATGAGATCTCTGAGGAGGAGTTCTGATATCCCGGTTTTCTTCCGCCTTGCTCTTGAGGACTGTAGGTAGTATGGCCTAATACGAAGCTGCAGGTCAGTTGGCGTTGGCATTCCACAGGCAAAACCCCGACCGCAGCGGAGTTTCCTGCCCCCGCATTCACGGGAGTCTCCAGTGGCGTGGCGTGCTTTGCGATGTATCTGTCGCAGGCAAATAGTGAAATCAGGCATTTTGTCAAATGCCTAGGCAGATAGTTAAATTTTGACGGTTTATACTAAATTTTGTGAATTCATGGCGAAGGCCTGACGAGTTTTCAATATTTTTGGAAAAATAACTCACGGAACCTACGATCTCTTTTTGTCTCTTCCTCTTCAATTGCTTCTCATATTTTAAAATGTTGAAATTCCGAAAATTTTGTATTCCATGACATGCCGAAAATTTCAAGATAAATGGCTACTTAGAAGCTAAAAGTTGTTTAAAATACTATTGTATGATGCAATTTTTACTGAGAATTTAATCTCACACGAGCAATGAATTAATTTGTGTAAAATTAGGAAAATAATCAAAATTTCAAACTAGGTTCGAATATTTGACTATTTGCCTAGGCATTTAACAAAATGCCTGATTTTACTATTTGCCTGCGACATATCGATTGTTATGCCATTTAAACCTATGGTCAAGAATCGATTATTAAGGTGTTCGCTGCGAACACCCTGTTTATCGATCCTTTTCCATAGTTTTAAATGGCATAACAGTCGATATATCGCAAAGCACGCCACGCCACTGGGAGTCTCGCTGATGACGTTGGCTGGAGCCCAGGCCGAACCCTCCAATTGGGCGCCTCCTTTGCACTTGAGCCTCGTATTATTTTGTAATCGGGAATCGGGACGCAAGTGTTGACCTTAACTCCTGCCTCATGTGCCCACCTCAAAGCTGCCGTGTTCCTCATTCAAGTTTCGCCGCGACAGCCCGTGAATCGGACGTATTTCTGCCAAACGGAACTATGCGCATTATGACGTGAGCCCTGTTATGCATATATTCAAATGGGTCTCTGGGCTCTTGTCTTAATGCACATAGTTCCGTTTGACAGAAATACGTCCAAATGAATTAGTTGAGTGACCCTCGCTTCGTCTTGCCTGTTCGCACTCGCCTCGGAGTTTCGGAAGGCTGTGCCTGTGCGTCCAGAGACAAAAGGATCACATTTTGCAATAAGGAACCACTTTTTCTGGCCCATTTTAAAAACAACATATGTGCCATTAGTTTCCCTATGCAGAAAGGTGTTTTTATAGAAGAGCCAGGTATAGTGGTTCCTTATTGCAAAATGTAATCAAAAATATCTTGACGATTTTGCACTAATGACTTCTCACTGTGTAGAAGTTACTTCCGCGGGTCAACACTGATATTTGACTGACTATGATTGATGAAGAACTTGTCGGACAATCAATCCGATTCAAGAGCTCTGTTTCACGATAAGGTTGAGCTTCCTTAAGTCTTATGTGATTTGTGGAGTGGTTAATTATTGGTTTCTACTTTCCGCCGATAATAGAATCTTTTATTTCACGACAACATGCAGCCACCTCGAACCCGGGGGTGGGGGGTACAAGGGGGGTCTGGGGGCCTCCCCCCGAAAATTTTTGAATTCTTGAAGCATCTCATATGCAGTTTAAGTCAATTTTGTCATGAATACTTAATTGCAAAATGTAAGCGTGATTCCTACTGCTTTTCTCCACTCATTTCCTTTTGCTTCCTTCTCTTTTTCTTCCTCTTTTTTCGACGAACAGGGGGGCGTAAGCCCCCCTTCTCCCCCCTCCACTTTCGGCCCTTTCCCCTCCTTCTCCACTTTCGGCCTTTTCCCCTCCCCCTCCTTGGATCTGCTTATGTTTCACGAAAAAAACTAGAGAAAAAGTACCGTCAAAGTGACAAAGTGTGGCGTTGCGCGACGGTAAGCTTGAATTACAATCTCTAGCAATAATGTTCCGGAGTATCGTAAATGAGGGGCTTGGAGGACAGGGCGCATAAAGCAGTTTTTGCTATTTCAAGAAATATGTGTTTGAAGTTTCGAAATTACAAGGATCCTTCTGGCGGAAAGAATGTTCAAACTGACTTTTTGATGCTTAAAAATTGGAATTTGGGGGTGAATTTCTCACTAAAATTGCATTAAGGCTAGTTTTACTTGAAATCAGTAACATCTCGATTTTTTCAAAAACATCTTGCATCACTCACTCGCCATCAAACGCCAATTTTATTTAGTGTCCGGTAAAAGAAATTTCCGACCCTTCATCATCAGAATAATAATCGTCAGCGATCTGTGCAAGCACGCCGCACCGCGCATAATGCTGTAAGAGCAGTCTGAGCAGTAAGCGCCAACAGCCGAAACGCCTTCAATATTTCTTGAATGCAACACGCTCATCCCAAGAACACGAATAGTTGCATCAAGGCGTTACATTAAGCTTGTATCGCGAAGAGCAGCCCGAGGCACCTTGTTTTAGCCCCTTAAAACTTCCGAGCTATACTTCTTCTCTCGGAGTAATGTGTAAATAATTAATTTAAATTACCGAACAAATAATGATTTCAATTCGCAAATGGTGGACATGGCACTCATGGGCAGATGCTGGTAAATGAATCGGAAACCGAATTAAAAAGCGATTTTAATTATTATATGGACCGCGTTAAGCAGAAAGGAACCAAGCCACAACAGTCATTGCCTATCATTGGGCAATTCAAGATTTTACAACAAAAAAAAACCTTTGTGCGGATTTTTGTGCTTTCAGTGAATTTTTTCCATGGTACGAAGCAAATTCCTCAAAACTTACGAAGGAATCCGCACAAACCTTCTCTCGTAAAAAATTGAATTGCCCAGTTAAATTTGGCAATAGCTGATGTGGCTTGGTTCCTTTTCTACTTAATGCGGTCTAAATATGTATTCTAGGGCTCGAATCCGTGTCCTGTCCCGCGATCAATTGGACTGAGTTAAGCAGAAAGGAACCAACCCACATTTTGGAAAAAATTGAGTTATGAGTGGTTTTGAACTCAACCACTGCTCTACTATCTATCACCAAAAATTCTAAGTTTTTGTTGGAGCAAATTTTGTAGAAATTGAACTTGAAGTTTATATTTTACATTGAGTCTTATGCAGGAGCCAAACTTTAAACCTCTTTTTCTCGGTTTGATCCCGATGTGGCTTGGTTCCTTTCTGTTTAACTCCGTCCAATTGTTACCATGATGTAACGTGATCTAACATGATGTAACGAGTATGTAACGTAAAGGTAACATAATTTTACCACGACGAGGTAAGAAGGTGAGATTTAATACTTACCACGAGCATTGAAAGAGCAACTACCTATTCTCTATTCTCTGTATTTTAAGTAAGTTGTTGCAATTGTCCTTAAAAATATGCGGTAATCTTACACTAGTTTTTTATTTGTTTGTTTCAGATTTATATAGGATTGATATTCGTGATTGCCGTGTCAGCAGTACATGGTAAGTGATTTTCACAATTACTTGTACTCATGGGGTCTATGATATTTATAATGCAAAAACATTTTTTCTCCAAACGTTGGTGTAGGGCTGTTGTCATAATGACGATGAATAACCCTGGTAAAAATTGGCGATAAGAGCTGCGTTTCAAAATACCAAAGAAATTCTTATGGCCGGCTGAAGAAGGCTACAGAAAATCATATAGCTGGCTGCAGAATGCGGAGAAAATCATACGGCCGGGCTATACGAAGCGATAAAAAATTATGCAGCCGGGCTATAGTTCATATCGCCGGGCTTTACACTTCATCGCCTGGCTGTTGCTTTTCCGCCATCGATTATAAATGGCTATAAGAAATTGTTTAGAAATTCGTGTGCTTTGGAAATCATTAAGTTTGTAACGGAACCACCTTAATATTTACAAAACACACATTATATTTTCCTTTAATACATATTTTTTTCCATCAATTAAAATGAGAATAATCCATACAGGATGTGCAAACATTTCAAAATCACGAGTTGAATAACGCTACTCCGCCAGATTAAATATTAGAGTCTAACATAAAGCGGAGCGGCGACGCACTGGCGCCTACAAACCTAACAGGGATACTTCACGCATTGCGCAACGCGTGAAGTATCCCTGTTAGGTTTGTAGGCGCCAATGCGTGTTTTGCGCTGGCTGCCCGCCTGCCACGGCGCTTGAAGCAACTATTTCACACCAGAGGTATTGCACAATATCAGACGAAACTGAAGGCGCTCTAATATATTAGTAATGGCAGGCATCCATCAAAAGCACAGAGCTTTCCTCGCAAAATAAATCAAGATACTACGGCCCAAAAGGAGAGCAGTATTCCAAAAACTCACTAAGTCCTAGCATCCGTAATTAGTAACGTTTAGCATGCACTTTATCGCCTGGCTGTTGCTTAATCGCCATCGGCTATAAAAGGCTATAAGAAACTGTGTATCTGGCTATAGAAGCTATTGGAAATCTTACAGCCGGCTGTAGGTCTATGGTATTTTGGAACACAGATGCTACTGCCAATTTTTACCAGGGAAAGCTGCTCTAATCTTCAAATCGCCCGACAGTGACAAATTGGACTGCATTTTGCAATTTGGACCTATGAATTCTGGCTCATCTGAAAAAACACTTATGTGCATAGGGAAACTAATGGCACATACGTTGTTTTTAAACCGAGCCGGACTTTATAGGTCCAAATTGCAAAATGCAGTCCAATTACTCAGCATATATGTCTTTGTTGTTCATCAGGGCAGTGCCGATTGTTTGGGCCATATTACGCTGTTGAAATAAATATTTGTTCATAAAAAAAAAGAAGAAAAAAAACTGATGAACGCATTAAGCAATTGTACGTAATGTGTGTCAAGTGAAAAAAAAAAAAGTTTGCGTTAAGTTGTATTCGCAAGAGCTGTTTTGTGTAAAACGATAAACTTAAAAAAAACTAAAAACGTTTTTTTTAACTGAAATTTTAGCCACAAAATAAAGTCATGCAATCCAAAATGTACCTAATTCTGCCAAAGCTAGTGAGAAGTTCGTGCTCATTGATAATGATTTTACTATTTGTCATCATTATCTCATTTAGATAAGCCAGCTGCCATTTTCTGGAGGGATCTATCATCGTTGAACCTAGAATTGTTGTGTACCTATTGCCTTTGTCCTCTACTTTCTATTATTTCAAAATTTCTGTCCATTATTCTGTAAATTTTTGTTACTTTTTTAAGCAGAGTTAAAAAAGACCGAAACGAATTAGCGTAAATACGAATAGAAGAAAGCTATAAATTCCCTGTAAAACCAAAGATGGGCTTTTGCTTCCTTTCTTGACGGTCGATTTTACCAAATGTCAATATACCGGTTCAATGCCCGATTATCTGACATTGGTGAACACTTTTGATAAATGAGTTATTTATTTACGAATAAATTTTACAGGCGCCGTATATGATGATGCTTACTACTGGTCCAGATATGGATATTACGTTCATCCTTTATCGAGAGCAATTGTAGCTGGTAGTATCCTAATTTCTATGAAAAGTTGACAAAACTGCACAACCCCATCTAAAGTCTTACCCATACAGAACACCAATTCTGTTCCTCCCAGTCCTTCCACGAACATAAATACCAGCACAAGCTAACGGCTAAAATGCTCCCAGCTCCCCTCCACACCCACCCCTACCCAACGCATATACCAATCCGAATTTTTTCAAGCACGCTAAATTCAATCGAGGGTATGAGACTGTATGTGTGCGTCATGTAACACTACAGCTTATTCCAGAGGGCAATTTCTACAAAGGTGGCATGAGAAAATAAAAATATATACACGCGAAACAGGAAAATAAAAGCACATTTTACTGACACATTCTCACAAAGTCGATGACAAAGATGCGAGGAGAGAGTAAAGGTAGTTTACATTTGCATCTGGGAAAATTAAGGTGCATAATTCTGCCATGCTAAGGAAAAACGCCGTATGAACATTCGAGAAATGCCAAATTTCCTCCGATAAAATGTGTATTTTCAAGAAGATTTATGAATATTTTTCCTTGAAATCTGCAGGAACTTTAGGTGAAATTGCGAACGAAAAAATCTGAAAAACTGGAAGAAAAATAATCATAAGTTTTCTCGAAAATGTGTATTTAATCAAAGGAAATTTGGCAACGCTTGAAGGTTCATGCGGCGTTCTTCCTTACGATAGTACCTATTTCTCACTTATTTCGCTCACGGCCTGCATTATACTTATTAATTGTTGGTTCCCTCTTTTTGCTCACTTAAGACTTACGTTCCAACCTCGATTACTGCTTTACCATGAAAAATTACATAGAGTATAAAGAAACTAATCACAATAAGCATAATAATGTAAATTTCTACATTAAAAACCCAGGGACGTTATTCAAGACAAATCTCAGGGGGCGGTGGGAACATTTGTCGAGAGGGGGTATTTGTTCGTGAGGGGGAAGCTGAGAAAATCTCGAAAACTTCTGAAATCGATAAAATTTGACCACGAAAGCCCTAAGATAGGTAAAGGTATCGTTAGTGCAGAGGGAGGAGGAGGGATTATGCCTCTTGTCCACCTCAAAAATTGCCTGTGAAAAAGTTGCCAGCACAACAGACTGAAACGTCGATAAAAAATCCTGACCCAGGTATTGAAACAGTACCAGACGCGCATCACACGAGAAATTATTCAAAATATATTTGAATACCCATTAGACTAATGCTTCGCTGCTTTTTTTACCCGCTACTCCCACTTTCAAATCTTGAACACTGTGTTAATTCAACAACTCCATCAGAAGGCCTCTAATACTTGCTCGTGAAATCGAAAAGTTTTGAAAAATCATTTTCAACTCTTTAGAATGGGCTTCACCGCATACATACAACCTTTACTTTTACCATTTTGAACTAACTCAAGAATGTTCCCTAGCACCGCTCATACCTAAATTTTTTTAATTCTCTAGATTCACTGCTATATTTTACCGTCAATTTTTTTTTTCAGCGCAAAGTTCAGATCCTTGCTCACCGAATCCTTGCGGTACGAACACACAATGTAACGTTGTAGGGAACAGGCCAGTTTGCAGCTGTCTATCCGGTTATTGGGGCGATCCTCTACGCTATTGTCAGAGGGGAGAATGTTCAGGTATGTTGATTTGTTAGTGATTAATAAAGTGCAAGAAGACTTCATACCACGAGCACTTTTTTTCTATTCATGTGAGTATGAAACTGAGCTTCAAGATGAAAATAAAAATTCAAGTTCAAGACAACGCATCATTTCTCACAAGAGATTAGTGTCGCGTATACCGCAACGCATTTATTCATAAAGGTTCTCTATCTCCCTTTCTCCCATATTTTCGGTCTCTCCCTATGAATTTTCAAAACCAAGCATCGACCAAGCTTCACTTACTCGTTGCTGTGATCAGTCGCACGCATCTTTCTTCATTATACTTTTTATTACACAGCGTCACAAGATGGATTGATTAAAGCTCTCTCGAGGCTAAGCTCTACTTTCTACACGAGGAGTTTGGGACTTCGGTTTTGACCATCATGCACAGCCGTCCTGAGTGCTCCCGAAAGTCAGTCCATTGTACTGTAATGTAACGATTCCATCTCAAAATACAAGCGAGTCCTATACACTGAAAAAAAAATCTCGGTGTATTTACTAAGAAAAGGGTAAAATTACCAAGAATTCAGGGTTCTATTTGATCCCAGTTTTAACTTGGTAAAATTACCTTTTATGGAATTGGTAATTTTACCGAGAAATCTCCGTAAAATTATTGAACTTTCCCGGTAATTTTACTGGACCTTGGTAAAAACGCCAATATTTTTTATCGACTGTAGTAGAATTACCGAGATAAAATGGCAAAGTTACCGGGAATTGATTACCAATGAAAGTGGTATTCTTACCTGAAAAATACAGTAAAAATACCGGTTTTTAGGTAAGCTTACCAGTCTGTCTTGGTAAAATTACCAATAATTGGTAAAAAAGTGAGATGGTAAAGGTACCAACGGACCTTGGTAAAAACGCCGAGAATTTTTTTTCAGTGTACGTCACCTTATAACATCTGTTTTTTTGCTCTCCCACATTCTGCCACGGATAGGATTTTTAGGTGTTTTCAGTCCGCCTACAATTCAAACATCATCTCTATCCGCGACAATTAGCACTCGTCCTACTTATTTGCCGCTCAGAGCACCAAAGAATCCAACAACTAAAACATCGAAATCGGCTCTCACGATATTTCGACCTTTTAGAATCGTGTTGCAATTGTTGCATACTCGAGGAGAGTTAGGCGAACTATCGTCGATTGATACCGGCTCATTATGTCACTGCGTCCAAAATACAGTACCTAGTCATAATGAGGGAACTCTTAATTTCGGCGTAATTTATACAATGGATGATTTTCTCCATTTACGCTGATCTCCTTGTTGCGTTTATGAAGTTGACATAAAAGTAACCAAGTATTAAAAACGTTATGTAAAACTTTCGGTTATGTAAAGATTCGATTCATCGCCAAACGCAAAAATCTGTTATCAATGGTCAACTCGTCTAACGTTGATCTTGGTTTTTTCCATGGGATAGAAATTCGAAGTAGTGGTGCCTTAGTGGAAACAAATAACGCCTTATCTCTTTCATATTAATTGATTTTGGAACTTTCCAATCATGTTTGTGCTCTTGATGGAACTTTGACAGATACCTACAAGTGCAATAATTCTTATTTTATTTAATCGCTCCCCAAGTAACACAGTGTGATGAAAATACTAAAATAAATTATTTTTAACCGTATAATTGCCAGAGTATACATCATTTTGTCAATAAATACCGATTTTGAACGATCAATATACTCTTTTCCTTGTGTAAGAAAGGTAGGCAACTTGCAATGCACAAAAAATTGTACCTAACTTACTTCAGTTTTAATGTAATAAATGATTGGAATGAGAGGAGCCCCTGCAATTAATGAGTAGACTAGACAACATACACAACACTCCGATAAAATCTAGTGATAATTCTACCATGTAAATGCACTTAACTGCAATCTATGCTACTTCAGTCGTTCTTCACCGAACTTTAAATGCAGAGTATCAGGTTATAATCCTAGTTTACATGTTTTTTTTTTTTCTTACAGACTAATAATGCTTAAAAGTCACCATTCAAAACGTCTGAAATGTTTTCCATTGTCTCTCCCTCCCCCCTCTCCACGTGCGTATGCTGCCATAGGCTGACCATAGAGTACAACAGAGTCGCACTCGCAATGTACTGGAGCGCCGAGGAAGTCAGTCCATGAACGGGCCATTCCGAGCCCCTTGTTCGCCGGAAAGTGTGAACCAAGATTGAACCAAATTGCAATTTTAACACGGCGGCTTATGCTGCCGTGCTAAGGAAAAACGCCGTATGAACCTCCAGCTATTGCCAAATTTCCTTACATAAAACAGGAATTTCTTGGTAAACTTGTGAATATTTTCTTTTCGATTTTTCAGATAATTTAGCTGGCAATTTTACCTGAAGAACCTGAAAATTTCAAGGGAAAATATTCATAATTTCCCTCAAAAATGAACATTTTATTGAGGGAACTTTGGCAACTCTCGAATGTTCATACGGCGTTCTTCCTTACCACGGCAGCATGGGGGAATCGCGGGGCCGCGAGTGGGTTCGGAACCCACTCGCTTACATCGATAGTTATTTTCGCGAATTTCGCCAAATTATGTTGAGCCAAGTCATAAAAAAATAAAAAATGTATGAAACGCCCGGTTTTACCTGTATTTTCTGAGCGAAGCCTGAAGGTCGGACCGCACGCATACGGCATTGCAAGTCGCCGCAGTGTAGTCTCAGGCCGAGTGCTGGACAATTAAATCATCTCAAATAGTGACTTCATCGGTCGGCGGCTGAAAATAAGGAAATGAAGGAAATCGGGTTTTTTTAATAACGATTTTTTTTTTTTTTTTTTTTTTTTTAATTTCAGGTTCCGAGGATTGTCCTCATTCAAAGGTATGCCGAGATTACCGCTGTGTGGATCCCTGCGTTGGCCAGTGCGGGAACAATGCAGACTGCAACGTAAGAAATCACATCCCTGTTTGCTCGTGTCCCGCTCAATACACCGGCGACCCTCTCGTCAGCTGTAGACGCATTGATCCACGTGAGTTTCCATTGTAGTAGAAACCCATAAATCCATCGCATGAACATGTTGAGTGGCGTCCTCACGAATTCGAGAGAAACTCGCTAAAATTAAACAAATTACACGGGCCTTGTGAGCGATGGTGTGCATCGAACTAACTGAAAAATTTAAGGAGGGCAGAACTAGTGTCCAGGGGCGGTTTGGCCAGTGGCTAGGGGTACTAGAGTGCTTCGGCACCCCAGAAATTCTGATGGGTGGCTCAGGGGGCCGGGGCCCCGGCACACAGTGGATCGAGTCAATGGGAGAGGTCGGACAAAATTCGGGAACTTTAAATGCCTATAACTCCGTCATTACAAAACTTTGAGGTTCTAAAAGTGGTTCCATTGGTTCCCTAGTGGAATTTTCTTCTACCTTCACCCCTCTTAATTTAAAATGTGACGAAATATACATCAAAATTTTCAATTCAGTCAAAAATTTCATGTCCGACCCCTCTAAATGACTCGATCCACTGTGCGGCAGGACTCCTGTATAGGGCTCCCCGAAAACCTGGGAAACCTACTTAAAGGAGGACTTTAGGTAAGTTAGGGGGACCCTACCCGAGAGGAAGGGCCCTGAAAACTTATACCTATCTGTACCCTAAGGATTTTCTAGCCAGCAGGCTGATCATTTCATTCATAAAGTAAAAGACCAATAGGACAAAGGGAAAATGGAGATATCATATTGGTTGGAACGGGTGGTCGTCATGGACTAAGGGGAATACATGGATGATAGACTCACTACAGGGTCCCTCATGGGTTGTCGTTAGTTAGTCTTTCACTACTCTTCTTGGTCCTTTGCGACCACCCGTTTTCACCGATAGGATCGCTCCATTTTCCCTGTGTCTTCTTTGTCTATAGCTTTGTCTATCAGTTTCAATGATCAGCCCGAAGACTGACATTGTGACACACGGAGGCTTAAATCATCAGAATGTCTCGCCTCGCGGTATTCAGGAGGTCTCGGAGCTTTTTGTATCGATAAGGTGAGGTTGGGTAACTGGGCAGGAGTTCGGAGAAAAATGTCAAAATTTCAACTTCATGATTTTTTTCCCATCATTATATTGACAGTGGAGGCTACTTTTAAATTTTTTTTAGTAAGTACAACACCTTGTCTAAATGTAGGAAGAGTCAAAAGTCGAATTTCATCTTTCAATTTTCTCCCACAAATTTTCAAAAATTTCCCGTTTTTTTCACCCAGTTACCCAACGTCGTGGGGTAACTGGACTACCCCCCCTTAATTTTTGAGGGGGGCATTATTTTTAATTCTCATTGGCCAGAAGGTGATGTCCTGCTCATGAAGGTTTAAGAAAATGTCATTTGAATGTACATAAACATGTTTAAGTGGTTAAGAATGATGTCGTAACAGTTAGCGGCAAAAAAACCCTCAAATCTGAGAATTGAATAACGGTAAAAAAAAAATTGTTTCCTTGTAGATAAATGCTTAGAACTTTCTGTATTACTACTTATAAAGTAGTATTGTATACCAGGACACTGTTTGGCCACTTTTAGTGAGATTAAGCATGATACATTTTTAAAAAATGAAAAAAAATGAAGCCGCAAGGCTGATCTGGGATAGAGTCAGGCGCCAAAAAGTTCCCTTAATTTTTAAGGGGGGCATTATTTGTAATTCTCATTGGCCAGAAAAGAATGTCCTTCTCATGAGGGTCTCAGAGAATTTCATTTGAATTTATATAACCATGTTTAAGTCGTTAAAAGTGATGTCGTAACAGTTATCGGCAAAAATGTAATTAAGTAATGCTTAAGTTATGCTATAATTGACTTAAGTTAGAAGTTTAGTGTGCTGGGAACCCTGGTTATTGGTCTTTGGCACTTAAAAGTCCACAATAGTCAATTAGTTTTGAAATTTTCAGAAGTAAACAAACACCGAAGCACAGCAACCTTGCAATGGGTAACTGGGCAGGTGCCATCACTGCCACCTGCCCAGTTACCTTGGGGTGGGTGCCCAGTTACCCCACAAAGGGAAAATTTTCAAGGTAACTGGGCATCAACCCTTTGCAGCCAGTATTTTCATCCAATTACGTTGTAATTACTCACGCATTACACAAATACGTCATACATGAAGAAGAATTGTCAAAGTTGAATAAAATACTTGCTGGGAGTGAGATATGAGGCTGTTTTCGGGACCACCTCTGGCGTTGTTTTGAAAAAAAAGCTGTACAATTTTCGGCATTTCACCATTCACCATAAAATTTTTTTTTGAAGTTATGTTTACATGTTCTAGATGGTTTACGTCATAATGAAGGTATGCTAACAGTAAAAACAATTTTTGCACTAATCTGGTAGAAATACAGAGGGTACTGCCCAGTTACCCCACCGCCCAGTTACCCAACCTCACCTCAAGTTGTATTTATTGATACGTATACCCTCATGGGCAGAAATAGGATATTTTTGCAGAGGGTGCACAGAAGAGTACCTCATTATGCAAGTTCTGGGGGTCCGCCAATAAAAGTTTACAAATTAAGAGTATCAGGGGCAAGGTTCGTAGGAAAAAAACTGATTGAAGTACAATTTCAAAATGACAGGATAATCATGCACTTGTTTTAAAATACCTTTTAAGTTTTCTGAGGGCGGAAAAGTAGATCTCTCCCCTACCCCTGTGTTCAGCCCAGTTCCACCCGCTCACAGGCGATACAATTCTAAAATACTCGTGGCTGTTTAACTTGTTCTCTGTTCAGCTCCATCGGAAAGTCATGACGCATCGTTTCGGCAGCGCCACGCTGTCTGATGATGGCAGTCGAGTTTTGACCCCCTTCTTTTGTGTGACGCCGCCTCCACACCGATATCTGATCTAGCGCCTGGCGCCTCGATAAGCGAATTAGGTTCACTCTTGAGATTCTGCTTATTGTTTCCTTCTTCTCTCTCTCTTGACACACTTCATATTGGCAAACCCCAAACTAGGGATCCACGCATGTTGAACTTGCGGAGTACGTTCACTCATGGTGGGCGCTCCTCTTCATGTCATAACTCTGAGCACGGTATATTGTTCGCGGTATTTTTTATAAGGAATGCGAATCTGAAGTGTTGAGACTTGATGTGACATGCATCATAATTATTTCAGAGTTGTATGTGGCGACATTACAAGGACATTCTCAACATTGAAATTTCCTCGTTCTATTTGTGCATTAATTTCGCACTTACTTATCTACTTCGGAAAATATTGACAATGTAGCAATGCAAGTTAGTGATACCTTACGTCGTCGGCAAGATAGGCAACGCTGAAATCAAGTTGAGGTTTAAGAGACACAAGTAAAGCGGTTTCAGTCAGTATCGCATGCGACGAATACTAAAATTGCATTATAACGCGTGGATGCAACTATTCGGGCTCCACGGACGTCCGTGTTGCATACGCACAAAACTGAAGGCGTTTGGCTCTCCAAGCATTCGCCGCTTCATCCGCCTGCCCGTGGCTCAACGACGAGCTGTATTGCGAGGATCCATGATGACAGAACGCCTTCAATTCTTCGTTTATACTGCAAAGATATCTCTTAGGCGCGAGTAATTGCACACTGCAAGCATAGGAGGTGAGTGTTTCACGTGCTTCAGTTTTAATACCGCGATTTGTTCAGCATGATTTGTAGAGCAACGATTTGTGCCTAAGAAATGTGTCTTTCTCATAAACGAAGAATTGGCGGAGCTCTATTCTTTGGATCCTCACAGGTCTGCGGACTGCCCGCCGCTGCTACCGCCGCGGGTAAAGTGGTAAATTCGTGGAAGAGAGTCAAAACGCCTTCACTTTCGTGCGTATGCAACACGGACATCTGTGAAGCTTGAACAGTTGCATTCTGGAGTTATTGGTAACTAAATGCGGGTGGTATTCGTCGCATACGATTCTAACTGTGGCCGATTTGCTTGTTCCTCTTACACTCTGACTCATTATTCCAGCGTTGCATATATGGTGCCGATGAAATAAACCATTACTGATTTTTTCGCAAAATGATAAATTTTCTCAAAAATTCTTTGATTGTTGAAACGCATGATACAACTTTACCAGTCCTTAAAATCGAAAAAAGTATTCTTAATATTAAGTATTTTCCAGAACTCGTCGAGCAGAACATGGCGCCAGCTCTCCCATTTACATTACAATTCTATGTACTCTATGGGCATATCCCCCTGGTAGAGGGATTTTCTAACATTCTGCTAAGAAGAAATTCCGTTGACTTTTTACAGAGGAGTTGTGCAATCAAAGTCCGTGCGGTTCCAACACCCGTTGCGACGTGATCAACGGAGTTCCAACATGCTCCTGTTTACCCGGCTACGTCGGGGCACCTCTGTCCGGATGTCGTCACGAGTGCGAATCCGACTACGAGTGCTCCTCCAGCCAGTCTTGCCAAAACTTCCGCTGCACCTCCGTCTGTTCCACCGGAGTCTGCGCATCAACGGCCATCTGCGAAGTCAGGAATCACCGCGCTGTCTGCTCTTGTCCCCAGGTCAGTAACATACTGCCGTGCTAAGGAAAAACGCCGTTTGAACCTTCAGGCGGTGCCAAATGTCTCCGGACAAATCACTAATTTTCAGACAAATTTTTGAATAATTTCATGCAAATTTCATAGATAATGTTGTTTGTAATTTGATCTAAAGTGTCTGAAAATATCAAGGAAAAATAAGTATATTTTTCCTTAAAAATGAACATTTTATCGAAGGAAACTTAGCAACTCTCGAATGCTCATGCGGCGTTCTACCTTAGCACGGCAGCGTACATGTACAAGTCGTAACAAGTTCTGCAAGGAAGTCTCCTAAATTGGACTACCTACATTATGCAATGGGACTGCTATTTCTAGCTAATTTTCGAGAGACAAGACTTGTGCTATAATATGATGGTAGAATATAGTGCTATGTCCTCACGATTCTGCCAGGAAATCAAGGCCGAAAAATTCCACAAATTTTCATTATTCAAAAATTTGAACTCAACTTGTCGTGAGGATGGTTGGCATCGCTCAAAGAAGGACACTTAAAAAGTTCTTCACTGTTAGAAACTTTTAAGGAATTGTTTTTACATAAAAACATGTAAAAACCTTTGTAATTCTCCCGCAAAGCTAAATTTTTTTTCACGTAAATTAATATAAAAAAGTATTTAAAAGGAATATGATGAATATGATTTAAAACACAGAAAAATATCTCAAGGAATTTCGTTTTCATGTAAGACTTATGTAAATTTTGGATACAAATTTCTTCAATGCTATCCACTTGCAGAACTTTTTTTGCGTGATTTTTACTTTAACTTAATTTAAAAAAAAAAAAGAAAAAAAAAACGCAAAAGAAGGATATAAAAACTCCCTCTCCGACTGCACATTTTTAAATGAAATCACAGCTCGAGTTTGTAAACATAAGAATTGGAAGAAAAAGATGATGAATTCACTACACAAAACATGAATAAGTAGTCACTCTCCATTCATGCCACGGATAAAACCAAAGATAATGAAAGCGAACAAAGGAAACGTACGAACAATAAATTGTGATTTTTAAGGATGCTCTTTCGAACAAGTGGATGAGTTAGAAAACAAGTCGAATAAAATTTTGTATTGAAATTAGAATATGAATTTATGGAAACAAGAAAAATTGAAAATTAAATAATAAATTAAAACTGAAAATCTAAAGATTTTTTGAGCTCCATCGACTTACACCATTGTGCGTCGCGTTGCTGAGAAGACGATGGACAAGTACGCCTTAATTATCTCGCGCATGCAACACGGACGGCAGAATAGTTGTACCCAGATGGTACCAACTTCGTCCATCCTATATTCTGATTTGACGAAGTATCGACAAGCTTGCGAATTTTTTCTTCTTTTATTTCATATAGTTCTTGGGCTAGACGCTTGACAAAACTGGTGACCTCCCAATAATAGGATTGCTCCATTTTTGATAGGTATGTTACAGAATCAGGCTACAGTGGTTACCTAAAATACCAAGTAAGGGTTATTTTTTTCTGTTCCCACCCGTTGTATAAGTGGACCGCATTAAGCAGAATGGAACCAAGTAACACCAGTCATTGCCGAATTTAATCGGGCAATTTAACCGTTTATTGCATAGCGTTGCATGAAAGCAACAAATTGTTTTCAGCTTTTTTTCTATGCTGGAGTATTAAATTGAATCAAAGCAAGAAATAATTTTTGGGGAACATTATATGTCTGATCTCCTTGCTTAAAAAAAAACCATAAAAATCTATTCCAACCGACTCTAGTGTCGAAAAAATACTATAGAATGTAGATTTTCTCTCCAAAATCAACGATTAGCTCATGCAAGAAAGGGTTAATTTTTTACATGAAAACGGCTGTGCGAATTTTTTAATGCAAATTTCAGTGTGTTTTTTGCATAGTTTGAAGCAAATTCCTAGAAATTTTAAAAAAAAAACGCACAAACGTTCTCTCGTAAAAACTTAAATTGCTGAGTTAAATGTTGCAATATCTGATGTGGCTTGGTTCCTGCCTGCTAAACGCGGTTCGAGTACACCTAACTACGCAAGCTACGAATCCTCCTCAATTTGCGTGAGACAGTAAATATGTGTTGACTGTTTAAATTTTTTTCCAGGGATACTTGGGAGACCCGTACGTATCATGCCGGGCTGAGTGCGACTCGAACAGAGATTGCCCCACCGAAAAACCGGCCTGTATTGGACAACGTTGTACAAATCCTTGCAATGGAGTTTGTGGCATCAATGCTAAGTGCGAGGTGCGAGGTATCACACCCATTTGTAGCTGTCCGCGTGATATGACTGGTGACCCGTTCGTCAGATGCAGACCTTTCGATAAATGTAAGTGTATCTAAACATATGGTTAGATGGAGAAATCGCGGAGACTTAAACGCAGAGTAAAGAAAGTAACCCTTGGGATTCCGCAAATGCGAATAAGGCACCTATTCTAGTTTCACATGACATTTCAGGAGGAGTAGGGGGAGGGGGGCTGCGTAAATCTTGAGAAATTGATTTGCAATTTAATCTATATGACATCTGAGAATTTCGATGAAAAATGTTCATAAATTTCCTCTAGAATGAATGTTTTGTCAAGTGAGATCTTGCGACATTTTTGTCATCCAAATGGCGCGGAGTGAGGAAAACACTTAGAGTTCTGAACTATTCCCAAGCAGTACTACAAAGACATGCGAAATTCTGAGTCCAAATGAACTACTTTTCTATTTTCGAAAGTCTAGCCCAGGGGGACCTCGGGGTCGAGGGATCGTCTTTTCCAGGGCCGTTCTCAAAGTTAGAGAGCAACCCGATGACAAGCTAAGAGTTAAGCACACGGTGGCTGTAGAAATCTTTTAAAATTCGATCACAACGAAGATTTGTAGTGCCTGTACCAGTACCTGTTGGCCCTACTGCGAAATGATGTCCACTGGACAGCATCGCGGAGTTGTGTATGTTGCCTATCTACTAATTGAAGGGGCTCTTCTTATTGTATATTTAATATATACTTAATATATTATACTTAATATATTCTTAATATATTTGAAGTAAGGTGCAATTATTCTTAGCATTGCAAGTTGGCCTGATTCTCTGGTAAGTGAATGAAACATTGCATTGCTTATTTAAAATCATGACATTTGTGATGGAGTCGAGTAAAAGGAACCTTCAGGGCGGAAAAATAAAAAAAAAAAATCGATAACACTGGCAGAGGTTCAAGTGATTCAGCATTATTTGGCGCACGGAACAGCCAAACGTTGCAAGTATCGACTGTTTTTTGATAAAGTTTGAAAGCAAATAATAAAGAGGAAAATGCTTTTAAAGTTCATTGGCGCTGTTGCCAGCTTTGAACACGATTCACTTCAAATTATGATGATGTTCCCTTTTTCTAAAACAAATGTCCTCCTATTGACTTATATATAAATGTCCTCTATTTGTCCTCATTTTTGGTTCGATCCTCTTTATTAAATTCTGGATGTGGCAATCTTACTTCAAAAGCTTTTAACATTATATTTACTCATAGTAATGAAATTTATGCCTTGAAATTTTGACCCTTCGTTCTTAAGAGTATTACTAGAGAGCTTTCCGCATCAAAAACTGAAAAAAGATTTAATTCTTATCTCGAGTCACTTCTTTCGTTGTTTTATTGAAGACGTAAAATGTCATGGTTAAAAATCACAACTTTAAGTCAATTTTTTTGTCACATTATGTCACTTGGACGTATTTCTATCAAACGGAACTATGTGCATTATGACGTGAGCCCTGTTATGCACATATTCTTATGGGTCTCAGGGCTCATGTCTTAGTGCACATATTTCCGTTTGATAGAAATACGTCCATATGACGGAATGAACCTGACGCCCGATTCCGCCGCCAATCCAAGCCCCCCTCTACCCTCCTCCCCCTATGGCGCTTAGTTCCGTTTTTCAGAGGTATGTCCACTTAGCCTCTGACTTCCTCACATTTTTTTGATTCCCTCAACAACTAAACCATCAATGCCTGTTTCACATTAATTCACAGACGACCTCTGCAATCCCAACCCCTGCGGAGAGAATGCCAAGTGCCAACCTGGCTTCGACAACACCGGGAAAGAACGGCCTGTATGTACCTGTCTTCCAGGATTTGTTGGAAACGCCTTGTCCTACTGCCGCCGAGGCGAATGTACCTCCGAAAGCGAGTGTCGCTACGACCAGACCTGCTACAACTACGAATGTAAGCCTGTGTGTTCGACACTTCAGTGTGGAGAAAGAGCCAATTGTAATGCCAGGAATCACATTGCCACGTGTTCTTGTCCTCCAGGCTACACCGGAGACGCACTCTCACGCTGTTACCCAGTGCCTGATGCGTTGATTGCTGGTAACAGGAGAGGACGAGTGTACTATAACAAAAAGTAAACATGCGCTTCTTCTTAAGGACCTGAACTTCGGAACCATTTGTAATATAAGAAAATAAGTACCTAGCTAGTAAGATTATTTATAAAAAAGAAAATAAAATTATTTAAAATTTATTTATATTTTTCTCCCATATTTTATCTCCACCCCCGCCCAAAAAAAAACAAGAAAAAAAAGGAGTTTTTCTTCCAGAGCCGGATTTGGGTTTTTGCCGCCTCCTCTACCTCCCAGGTATACGGTGCAATGTGCAATATATCTTAAAGAAATACGCACGAAATATATACGTTGCGGAAACACAGAAAAAGCATAACCTGCGTAATCCGATTCTGCAGTAGCTAGAAGGTTGCGAATTCATGCAGAAAAATGTTGCAAACAACATTTTAGGAGGGGGAAATGATTCTTCGAGAAGTGAGGATTCGTGGCGCGAAAAAGGCGAAAATGAAACGAAAATGTCCAAGGAGGAGTAAAATGGTTCTTTAAGGAATGAGGATTTGCGACGCGAAAAAGGCGAAAAATGAAACATAGTGAAAAATTAAATCAAATGTTGATGCTAAAAAGCAAAACATCGTATCTCCGTCGCGGTGCGGTGTTTCAGAATTTCCGCCTCTATTTTAATTTTTAAGCCGTTGTAGTGCTCAATTTGACTTGCGTAGGGTTTTGTTTTTCTTGTGTCCGGGCAATTCAAAGTTCCCGTAACCAATGGACAATAAAAACGTTAATATCTTAGCAACAAGTTAATTTCAATAGTTTTCGTTGCGAGAATCGTGTTCTGCGTGAAATTCTGATGAAGAATCATGTATCAGAGTGCTTAAATTTGTACCATATTTAATGGTGTTAAAATCTTAAGGATCTTGGTTCTTATTAAAAACAACTTCATTCTTCAAAGTGACTTATTTATTTTTAAACTTACACCCACACAGGACGAACACTCAGCGAATAAGTCTAAGAAAGGTACAAGTAAGCGTTTCAATTCTGTTATCTTGTCGATCAAGTAATTAAGGTTAATGAGAGTGAGACCGATTTAATTGTGATAATGCTGAGACGGTGATATTCCAACACGCCTGTTGTTTCGTAAGCTCCAGCTTTCGGAGCGGCAGCCTTAGAGGGTGCAGTCCCGCCTGTGATATTGATCTTGAATAATTTCTGTCCAGCTTTGACTGATGCTCCATCGTCCACGTAGCGCTCAAGGATCACACCGTTTCCAGGGGATGGGACAGGCACTGATGTCTTATCAATCTCGATTTCACATACAACCTCATCAGTGGCTACCTCATCGCCAACATTTTTTTCCCACCTAATATCTCCTTCACTCACAGACTCTGCAAAAGGAGGAACGTTTACTACTTGCTCTTCATAGAATATTGAGGAAGTGCGGAAATATTTTACTCCTTCAAATGATCTTCGGCTAATTGCTTCAAGCTTTCTTGATCCATTGCTTGCATTGAAACACCGAGAACAAAGTAGAAGTTGACCACCTTTGAGATGTAAACGAGCAGAGGGAAGATTCCGAAGTTGTCACTCTGCCACACAGGTCAAATAGAGATCCGAAAGAGACTTTGCCACACAGGTCAAATAGAGGTCCACGAAGATACTCCAAAAGTTCAAGATACTGAAAGTTCAAGATGTTAAAGTTGTCACTTGTCACTCTGCCACACAGGTCAAATAGAGGTCCACGAAGATAAACATAATACCGAGATACCATGAAGATTTTTCACGAAAATTGAGATACCACGAAGGTTATTCACGAAAGTTCAAAAATTAAGTATCGGCAAAAAATTCAAACACCACGAAGGTTGAATGAATAGAAGTTCAAAAAAAAAGAAAAAAAAAAAAAATAAGTCCACGAAGTAGAATACCACGAAGGTTTAAAAATACGAGTTCGCCACTTAGGTCCGAAAATTCACACCACGGAGATATAATTTAAAAGTTTGAAATCCGCCACAAAGGTCCGAAATTCACGTTCAATAAGTCCACGGAGGTTAAAGATACTAAATACCACGAAGGTTGAGAGTTCAAAGTTAAGTTCACACGAAGTGAAATAGGTAAAGTCCAAAAATAAACGCGATCGCGATACCACGAAGGTTGTTCACGAAATACGCGATTAAAGCAAATATAGAAATTTGCAACTTAGGCCCGGATATTGACACGATCCGAAAAACAAAATTCGCCACTAAGGTCCGAAATTCACGTTCGCCACTAAGGTCCGAAATTCGCGTTCATAAAAGTTGTCACTACAAGTCCACAAAGGCACGCACATACCTACTATAAGAACCAACAAACTAGAGAACCACGCTCTGCTACCATGTTAAAATCTTAAGGATCTTGCTTCTTATTAAAAACAACTTCATTCTTCAAAGTGACTTATTTATTTTTAAACTTACATCCACACAGGACGAACACTCAGCGAATAAGTCTAAGAAAGGTACAAGTAAGCGTTTCAATTCTGTTATCTTGTCGATCAAGTAATTAAGGTTAAAGAGAGTGAGACCGATTTAATTGTGATAATGCTGATACGGTGATATTCCAACAAATGGCCTGTTTCAATCTAAAAAAGGCGAAAATAGAGAATTTCTTTAACTTTTCTTAGAAAAAATATTTTATCGGGAGAAACGAGGCAACGTTGGAATGTTCATGCGGCGTCGAGACACAACATGGGCCTTTTAAGCCCCATTGTTCGATCCCTCGATTATCGTAACGCGCATGTTCGCGCCAAACACGGTGCGGTCGAAGTCAAACTCATATCAGCGCCTGCAAGACTGTAGGAATACTTCACGCATTGCGCCAAACAGTGCGGTCGGCATCAAACGCATACTGGCGCCTACAAGGCTGCATGAATACTTCTCGCGCATAGCACAAAACGCAATGCGAGAGGCGAGAGTTATTTGCGATAACTTTTCGACTACAGATAAAGGCACATTGCCACTAACCGGATTGGAGGCGCGTCACACTGAGAAGATGATTCGACACTCGACCGCGCTCCCTTCCCTGCCTTGCGCGACGCTAAGGCCTCCTCTCGACGGCGCAATTGCATGCAGGGCTCTTGACGGCGACTGTTGAGGGTAATTTGTGCAACTGTTGAAGGAAGGAGGTGTTGCAAAAATGTTTCACTTAAAAAAGAAACTTTCAAGGTCAGAAACCTTGAACCTCGAACAGATGTTTACCTTCGTGTTCTGAATTGATAAATGTGAATTTATTACACGTGAAGCGGGAGTTTACTACAGGTGTTTTGCTTCTGAGCGATTATTATTTAAAAATATTTGTATAAATTTCAGTATCAATTTTATATTTTCGTTTGTAGCATATCGCACTACAGCAGGAAAATAAAATTTTATCGAATATATTTTCTTTTTATCCATATCTGTGTTATGTTGTTGTTTTTTGTTTTATACCTGGTCGAAATAACGCAAGTTATTCACCTCCCGTTCATAATTATCAGTTCAGTTACCTCAGTTGACATCGTTCAAAACCTAAAAAAATTAATGTTGTTCAAATATTCGTTACACAAGGCCTAAAATCGCCGCAAATCTAGAACCACGCGTCAGTTCTTTGGACGGTCCCTACCACAATTAAAGGGTAAATATGTATCTTAATTGCAACAACGCAGAAACTCGGACGATGTTCAAACGATGCAGCGATTCTAAAACTGGTACGCGTAAAATAAATTTGGTTTTCATAAATAGAAACCGGAACGAACGAAAATATCGAAATTTTTTGTGATTTTATTGTAAATCATTCCGAAAATTTTTTGGGAACATCTAAAAAACTATGCGTACTTAGCTTGTTTTTTTTTCTAACTCGATTAAAACTTAAACATGAGTAGAGATATGCAATGTTGCAATCGGAGGTAAGAACATTTTTTTCCGCGTGCAAGCGGCGATATTTGAAATCATTCACGGCAGGCGTAACGAGATGACTATTCGACCATGGGTGTAGGCATATTGCCGCTAGCGGGATGGAAGGCGCGTCACACTGCGGAGATGACTCCACCAAGTTCCCTTTCCTGGCTCGCGCGTCGCTGAAGCCTCCGTTAAACTAGGTTTACCTACGTGTCATCATTCTTGAATCTCTGCTCCAGTTTTTACCATAATCAAATAGAAAATATGTATCCTCATTGTAACGATTCAAAAACTCTAATTATTTTTAATTTTTTTTGTAATATTAAAACTAAAAAGAAATAGAATTAACAAAAATATCGCGTCGAAATTGTCCATGCTTACATTTGAAATCATTTACTAAGGAAAATTTGAAGGAACTCTTCAGAAAAACTGTGTGTGGCTTTTCAAATACAGTGTTCAAAAATAAGACGTAAAAAGTGGTGCATAACGTTGCAATCTGAGATAAATACGCTTCCTTTCGCGTGTACCCGTCGGCTGTTGAATCCATTCACCTCTGAAATACATAACTTGAACATGGTTGTTGTACGATTTTTAACGTTTCGTTTTTTTGCGGTGGTTGGCGGCCGCGTGGTGGCCACAGGCCCCTAGAACGGAATATTCTGCTCGGAGAGTAAATATTTCATGAGATTTTTCAAGAAAACACGTTGACTATTTTTCCAAAGAATGAATAAAGTATCACAGGAAGTCTGCAATGTCGCAAATAAAGATTCGTGGTTCGGTCATCGATGTACTCATGTTGCCGACCGGTGCCCTATGGCATCGTTGGCCCTCCCTTCGATCCAGCTCTGTTTGCTCCCAGGACACGAGGAGGGGGAAAACCCATTTAGCAGATTTTCCAAAAATGGGAATTCGATAGTGATAAATGGCGACTAAATAGCAATAGAAAATTCAAAAATTTGGTGATGAAAATAGTTCAAAATAGTTGTCAAAAATGACAATCTCATAGCAATAAATCGCAATTAAATAGTTTTTTCGAATTCAAAAATCGAACATGACTATATGTATCAAGTTCGTACCTCATATGTACCTAGATCAAAATTGCGATTTAATATAAGTGTCATACCAATAAATAGACAAAATATTTGCTATGATAGCTTACTTATCACATTCAATCTTGAAATTCTGCTACATGGGAGGGAAATTAAAAAGAGGAACATTGACTCGTTTCCCCATGACTTTGCATCATGAAATCTCGGATAAATTATTGCTCACTGAATTGCCTATATAGATCCATAATAAGATTAAGCCGCTAATATTGCAGCCTTTTGAGGCATAATGTTATAACTGCTGAATAAATAAAAGTGATAAAATCTAACTTATTTAGTATTGGATATGGTTATGAATGAAATGTTGATTCAGAAGATTTCTATTGATCTACTCAGGCAGCCTTTCAATAAAACAGGGTGCAGGTGCATAAATACTAGCATCAAGAAAGATCAATGCATTACAAAAATTGTTCTTTAAAAAGAATAAGTTTTCTTTAATTTAAAAATAAAAAATGTACAAAACTGTATCTAACTGTACAAATCACGTCATTGTCATAAGTTTTAAGAGGAAATAATTTTGTTTTAATTATAAAATAAATTATGTACAAAATTACGATTAACTTTACAAACTTTCAAAATAACATAAATTACATATTACTGATAGGTAATAATTGAATTATGGACATTGTTGATCACCAGAAAAAGATGAATAAGGAAGTAATTCATTGATTAACAAAATTCTGCTGAAAATCCTCTTTTTGATGAGAACCCAACAGAAAACCTACATACTGCACAGTGTTTGAAAAAAAATCAGAAGAAAAAAAACATGCAGGCATAAAGGAGAAAAAAGATTACATCAATAAAGGAATGAGATTATTATAAAACCGTCTTAAAGTATCAGAAATTGTATAGAGAATAAAGTTCGATAATTGGGAAATAAAGAGCTTCGTTATAAACAGTGATTCTGCATTTTATGACTTCAATCTCACATTTTTAAAGGAATCAGAAATTTAAAAAATTTGTAAAAACACTTCGTTTGAAAAAAAGGAGGAAAAAAAATCTACATGACTACAAAAATCTTCTTTGATTCTTGCAACTGAAGAGATTCATTGCAGAAACCAAGTACAGTAATGACTGGGTAATGGAAAGCTATAGTCTTCAGCACCTCGCCTACCTACAACATGATACAATGATAGAGAGTGAAGATGGTGATGCACATTTCCTCACAGAAATTTTTTATTGTCATTCTACGCGGAGTTCATAGGGAAAAGTGAGCATGAACATTGATAGTTTTATTGTGTGGGACCTATTCGTTAGCAAAATCAGTTAAAAGCCTATTTGGACCGAGTTTAACAGAAAGGAACCAAGCCACATCAGCTGTTGCCAAGTTTCAGTGGGCGCTTAAATTTTTTACGAGAGAACGTTTGTTCAGATTTCTTTGAAAATGTTAGGGAATTTGCTTCATACCATGGAGAATTTCGACTGAAATTTGCACGAAAATCCGCACAACCGTTTTCATGTAAAAAATTAAATTGCCCGATTAAATTTGGCAAAAGCTGATGTGGCTTGGTTCCTTTCTATATAACGCGGTCCATTTGTGCCTAAAATACTGAAATGAGATCATCCTGAGACATAAATAAAATTTGAAACCACTTATCTACCTACTTAAAGAAAAGATAGATTACAATACAGAACTTGTGTGAAGAAGGAGAAACTAGAGTGTCCCTTTCAATGAGGTAGGACGTATTTTAAAACTCAAAACAGAGGGAAAAAATAAAACGAACTGTCCTTGGTCAGAGAGAGTGAAAAGTATACCAGGGGGGGGATGCATAAAGTCCCTTTATACACCAATCACCACGTCACTAAAGACACATGAAAGAGTCAGGTATAGCCTTCAAACAGACAATTTTATGCTAAAAAGAAACTAGCATGCATAATTAAATAAAAAGAGCTAAGTAGCACACAAATCTTATGTTTGTAGTTCCTTCTAGTATAGGTATGTCCAAAAGTTATGTCCGCATTCTACATGTGTAGTGTGCGTCAGATTCCTACACTTGATACAATAACAAGGGAAATATTTTTGCAGCACAGGGGACTCCTGGTTTGCAACTTTGTAAACTTCCCTCCATAGTTCATTTCATGAAGAATGTTAGTTATTTTCATTTGCTAAACTGAAAGGTATTTTCTCGCTCAATAAAAGTGAACAGTTAAAAATTTAGGGTAAAAATGATACTTAGCTATGAGCAATCAAAAAGGTGCAAGGATTTTAAATTTGAGTTAATCAAGTTCTTGAGAATTTTTTCTTAACACACTTAATTTTTCACCCTATAAAATCAAGAAAAATTCATTTTTCTCCCTATAAAATCAAGAAAAATTCATTTTTCTCCCTATAAAATCAAGAAAAATTCATTTTTCTACAGTGATGCTGATGAGAAACAAGGTGTCAAGGACAGTAGAAAACACAGCTGCAAAATTGATGGTCATGGTGTTTATCTGTTGACCAACTTCAAAATATTCAAATTTATGATTTTGATATTTTGAATAAAATTAGGGGGGGGGGGCTTGCCGACATCTACAGCGACTGAAAAAGTTTGGAGAAAGGTCAATTTGTTAAAATTAAATTGGATCGATTGGAGGAAATCATCTTAAGTCAGAAATTTTTTAATTTCTTTTCATATTCCGTTTTCTTTACGTAGACGGCAAAAAACCTATAAATGTGAGGGCATAAAGTTCATCTTAAAAATTTTAAAACTCTGTGATCTTTCTTCACCTTTTGAAGATTGAACATTTCCCTAAATAATTCGACTTTTTGGAACTCAAATGAATCAGTTGGCTACAAAATAATATGCAGCGCATAGGGTTGGCGATGGAAAGTGTGAGATCACTCCTTTCTCCTTGCTGCAATTTAATTCATGAATAGATTGACAACAGAATATTTAACAATTCTTCAGGAGCACTAGGACTACATTTTGCAATTTGGAACTATAATATCTGTCTCAGTAACGACGTATGTACCATTAGTTTCCATACACACATAAATGTTTTTTGGATGAGCCAGAAATTTTAGTTCTTAATCGCAAAATGACGTCTACTTGATGGTTCATCTTGTTGTTAGAGAACAGAAAATGTAGGAGCAGACCAAAGTAAGAAGGAATTTTCACTAAAATTGGGAGTTACGTTGTATCCATTGTATCACTTGCTTTTGATTTTGGTTTTTTACTCTTGTCCTGAGAGGGTGTGCTAACAGTGCCATCAACTTTATCTTCATCTTTATCACCATCATAGAACTCATTTTGCGGCTCTATTCGCTTATCCTCCTCAATTTGTGGATTCCTGGTGTCAGGATCAATCTCATCAAGAAGAACGCCATCGTTCGATGGGAAAGCATCTCCAGGCACATCATGCATCTGTACACTTGGAGAGTGTTGAATTAGCTTCAAGTTGTCATATACATGCTTTGTTATGAGTTCCAGGTACTGCTTGGAGTTCGCGTTGTCTTGCCGCGTAACAATTTCAGGGTGCAATGTAAAGTCTGGGGCAAAGTATTCTAAGTATTCTGTATAGGGAAGCTCATTACTAATAGGTTCATCAACAAGTAAGGAGGTTTCATACGTCCAGCATCGGGCAACATTCCGCAAAGTGTACCTGGAAACAAATTTAAAATTACACTTATCAAATTTGAACAGATTCTGAGGCAATTGTAAGGACAAAACTGAATTCTTCCGGAAGACACGAAATGTGTAAATAATGATTCTAAGTTTAACACAGCGACAATCAATGCTGACAGTAGTTTCCATTACTTTTAACAATTACAAAGTTCCTGACTTCTTTTAAATTTTTCTGATTTTTCATGACTTTTGAACACTACCTACCTTTGCTTCAAAATTCAGAAATAAAATTTCAAAAAAATTTCATCCCAGGGAATTTAGGATTGAACAGGAACGATGTCTGACTCAGAATTTGAACTACCCTAGAGGTGGAACAGGGAGCGTAGCTTGCTGCAGACCAAGTGGTGATGGAGGGACCCAGTATTTTAGGCACCAAGATTATTTACAGGTACCTGTCACAATATTATCACATGCCAGGATGAAGAAAAAAGCTTCGGTAGGAACTAAATTTTTATCGTGCTTTTGGGCTACGAAAGAGATTGCCTTTCGCCTTTTCCGCAATGAATTGGCGAAAAAAAAAAGGTGCGGAAGCTGTATTTTTCTACAGCTGACTAGTGACAAAATAAACGGCTCTCAAATTAACTACTACTGCAATGATACATAGTGCTTGACTTCCTCAGAATTTTCAGGTTCAAGGAACATAAGCACTAAAAACCAAATTTTGAGGTATGAATTTATTTTTTCGTAAAGACAGAAGTACTCGTCAATTAATTACTAGTGCAAGAAAATCAAAAGGGAAGACAGGAAAAAACAGGAAGAAAATGAAAGAATTGAGGGAGAAAAAAATTATGTAAATAAAAGAGGATATAAGGGGAAAATAACTTACCCGCCTCCACCAACAGCTAATAGAGGAACATTCAGGTCACGTACAAATTTCACACATTCACCATGACCTTTGGTGCTTAGACAAAAACAGCCTAGACGATCATTATCTAAAGAGTCAGCTCCGCATTGGAGAACAATTGCAGTTGGTTGGAAAAATTCCATCACGTACTGTATAGTGGGTTTGAAAACCTAAAAAGAGAGAAAAAAGGAGAAAAATTGAGAAGTGACTTTGCAGTTAATTTCAGTGTAATGAAGAACATTCTGCTTTTGGAAATGAATAAGTAAGTTACGAAATTAAGGTATGAAAATCCTCGTGCACAGATAGTGAAACCATATTTAATCTTCTGAAAAATGAAGGGATTTTCATGAAAAATTCAAATCATAAAGCATTCTTGCAACATCACAGAAAGTGATTGCAGTTGCCATATTTTTTCTATACTAATGCTCGCAAGACTTTTTTTGGGGAGGCATGTTAAAGGAACTTTTGAACCTCTTTCCCTGCCTTTTCCAATATGAACTGAGATACCGTATTTATATCACACCAGCAAGATTCTGGCCCAAAGAAATTCAAGGGGTCACAAAACAACTATCGTACGAGGAAAAAGGAACGGAGACCTTGCACTCAACATCTTGATTGCATTTCATTTCTAACTTCTAGGCATTTTCAAAGCTAGGACTCTGCACTCACTCCACAGAATGTGCCCCAAAAACATGTTGCATAGAATAAAACATATTGATGAATGAATAAGTGAATAAGAGATGTGCGAATGATGACTTGCTCTCACCTGAAAATAACTAGTATCATCGATACCCTCTTTAAGAGGCACATTGACGGAGTAATACCGCCCGCTTTCCGCACCAATTTCGTACATGTCTCCAGTTCCAGGGAAGAAGTAACTTCCATACTTATGGAATGAAACTGTCATAACTCTGTCAGTTAAATAAAACGCTTCTTGAACGCCGTCTCCATGATGAACATCAATATCAATGTACAGCACCCTTGGATGATACTTTAGAAGCTCTAGAATGGCAATAACAATGTCATTGACATAGCAAAATCCTGAGGCTTCAAATTTCTTTGCATGGTGAAGACCGCCAGACCAATTTATGGCAATATCACAGCAATTATTGTTTAATTTCATAGCTCCATCAAGTGAGGCTCCAGTATACATAGAGCAAAAGTCAAATAAGCCTTCGAATACAGGACAATCATCTCCGACATTGAAATGACTCAGGTACTTAGTGTAATTTTGTAAATTTTGTGGTGTAACACGCTGCAGGAACTCTATGTATTCATCTGAATGAAAACGACACATGTCATGAGCACTAGCCCTGTAAGGGCGGTAGACTTGCATTTTCTTATACAACCCGTAATTGTGTACCAAGCTATGGATCACCGAGAGACGGTGAGGCTTCATAGGATGGCCTGGGCCATAATGAAAATTGCCGACGTCCGGGCTGTAAAAATAGGACACTACTTTGTTCGACATGATTTTGGAACTGACGAAAGTCTGCCGAAACTGGTGATTTGTGGCAAAATATAGATAATGTCAAAACACGGTTTACAAGCCCATGGGTTAGGATGATTCACTTTTGCACCAGTTTAAATTTAAACCACTAGCATCTATCATTTTTCAATATTGTGATTGAAGTTAGCACTGATCAGAGGTGAGTTAAATTTAGGAGAGGAATAACGAAGTAAAAGATAAGAGCCACTGAGTTTTCCTGTTTTCCAAATTTTCCGGTTTCAACAACGAAGACCACAACAACAACAAAAAATTTAACCTAAAAATTTTTTATTGCGTTTGGTCAGGGACCAGTTCTATAGGACCCTGGACTCCCGTAAGAGTCAATGTAAAAATTCGTGAGCAGGTACTAGTGCTGCATTCTCGCGTAGGATCCTCGCAACTCACTGCTGTTATCAGTTGTTGGACTTCATTAAAATCCGTAGGATCGCGTATAACTGCAAAAAATCGAATTTTTCACCGTATAACTACATGCGGCGGGTCCTACCTGGTCGAAAGGGGTCGAAAAACGCCAAAAATATACTTATTTTTCAAGAATTCAGCCGCCTTATGTGTTATTTTTCAATCTCCGGCTTAACCTCACTTTTGGAGCGGGCGATGGATGAGTCGAGGTTCGGGGGGGAGGATCCTCTGAGTTGACTAGGATCCTACGCGAGAATGCGCTGCAATCACCCGCTCACAACAGAACGGCGTCCTATAGAACTCGTCCCTGGTTTGGTGAGCAAATCGTTGCCACCGTTGCTGACGTCACCGGTCGAGCTTTTGTTTAGTACCTGTGGAGGCTGCGAGGCTGACATCACTGATATCTCAAATCCTCTTCCTCATTTCTTTTTGTTTTATGGAATTCCCATACCCATTGCTCAGTCGGGAGTACATACTGGAATTTATCAATTATCAGTCAGTCAGTCCTTTTCGCGATCACTCTCTCTCTCGTTCAAAGTAACAAGTCTAATTAGTTGTTCCAAAGGTCTCTGTTGAAAATATTTCTTTCTCATAGTGTCGGAAGTGCAAGACAAAAAATGTCTAGTTACCTCAGCAGTGGTAAAGGTGGAATATTCTCTGTCGAAGATGATGTGGACGATGAGACGTTTTTAGCAGGCTCCAGAACAGGTAACACAGGATTTCAATCCTCTGATGCGTATTCAAGCAAGCCCTCATATCCTGTCAATGGATCCTCATCTTTCCAATACAATGGTATGTCAGCAGAACAAGAGAGAATCCAAGCACTCCTGCGAAAGAAAGCGGAGGTAGAAAGACGCACTTTGGAATCTTCAGCGAAATCCTTGAGTCTTCTCCGTGAAACTGAACAAGTTGGCACAGAAACAGCAGAGGTAAGATCTGAATTCTCTCTCATAGTTCATGGCTTTTACCTCGTAGTGGGGAAGCTGGTTGAAACTTCTCAGGGCACCTGAACTTAGCCCAGGGCGTAAACTACTGAATTTCGCAGCAAATATTGAACACCTCGATTTATCTTAATGGCAGAGGAAATGGAGCTTGTTACTAAGCAACTACACCAAATTTCTGGCAAAAATTTCATTGCTAAATTGTCAATGTTTCATTATGTAATGCTTCAAGGGGTGGATGTCTATGGGTGTCTCCACCTTCATTACTTAACCCTGTGATGTCATTCAAATTTTCTCTAACTCTATTGGATTGAAACCTGGCTTTATGCTTGTAATTCTAAATAGGTTTCCATTCTTTATTTCCTATTAAAATTCAATCAAGTACTACTAGTAATAAAGGCTATCAATTTTTGGATCGCCTCATGTTGAAAACATATAAGAATGAATTTTTAATTTTTAATTGTATTCTACTTTTAGGAGCTGCTACGACAACGGGAACAGCTGGAGCTCACAGAAAGGAGGATAGATGATATAAATAACACTCTACGTTTTAGTCAAAAACATATTAATGGAATCAAGGTAAGATTATCAACAAGAAAAATCTACTTCATATTTCTGTCTCATTCATGGAGTTACTAACAAACTGCTCGGGACAGGACCTGTAAGCAAAGAGCACAAAGTCCAACTTTGAAGTGCTCGATGATTGGGCCCCTGCTGATCGTATAAGTTCCGAAAGTACCCCATGACATGAGAGGCCCAGTTGATTTGAACAAAGCAGAACATTTTGAAATTCTTTATTTTGATAGTATCTCTCTTTTTTAAAAATAAGTAGATATTTTCACAATTTTTCACAAAAATTTCACATATTGATGGTGTAAGTGGGCAATCACATAACTCGGTTTGCGATGTTGCAGACTACCTGTCATACTTCATTTTTTAAACGGAAAACCACTCAATGGCAATTCTCTAAAACTGTCGTGATTTTTCTTCTCTGTGCAAAGAAAATTCTGCAAAAACTTCAAGGAATGATGTCAATTTGTTCTCCTTTAAAAAAATAACATAGAGGCGGAGATTTTCAGACACCGCAAACGAGTCATGTGATTGCCGACTCAATATGTAGTTCAATGTGTCTCTGACATAAATTAATTTTCATTATTTTGTTTTCAGAGCTCATTCTTTGTCTCACCACATTTAATATTGTTCAAACTTCATTCTTTGCTTCAACTCTTAAGTCATTTGGGTCACTTCAATTTTTGTCTATAGCAACGTCCAATGCTTATTGTACCTAGGTACCAGCATGATTTATTTTTTATCTTTTTGCAGAGTGTGTTCGGGAGTTTAAAAAATTATATTAAAGGTAACAAAAATGATCCAAAAATGAATCCGACTTCAGCAATCGGAAAAGTACCGGAATTAACAGAAGATGCCGATACTGCAGCCTCTCGCAGTAGCCTTCGAGCGTACGTTCAGCAGGATCAAACCATCACAAAACCTGAAAATCATCCAGGTCTGTATCTCTAATGTAAAGCACCAGAAATCACTCTTGGTTTCCAAGCTCTATTTAAACTGTAATATGATACTGCAATAAAAGTTTTGAATTACATCTGTATTATACATGACGTTAAGAAAAAATTAGCTCTGTACAAATCAGAAAGCACATTATTTATTAAAAGTTTCTTCTTATCTTTTCCATCAATTCAATCTTATGGATGCTAGGGTTTTTTGGACCAAAACCTTGTTTTGTTGCTTTCCAGAAAAAATTTGCAACTTTTAGTCCCCTTGTCCTCAAGGCGCATCACTAACTCTGCATGATGCCTTCCTTAAAAATCGTAGAACATTTTTACTTTGAGTTTCTATTAAAAAAATGTTTTCAAATTTAATATTTCAGGACAAGATGTCTGAACATGAAACAAAAATCTGCGAGTATACTTTTAAGTTAGTTTTCTGCATCTAATCTCAACTAAACTTGTTTTACGTATCTAGTAGCTCTCTCTGTACCCATCAACCCTAACCAATACTTCAGTGTCCATCCTATTCCAGATAAGATAGTGGTTAATTTTCTCTGCGTTCAAAAAAGAATGAGTTGCCTCAAGTATCTTTTTTTCATCATATAGTCAATTCGGCGCATGGATGTTGACCAAAAAGCTTAAGCAAAAGAGATTTTCAACTATTAAAAAAAGAAAAAAAAGAATGTCGAAACTAAAAATCTCAGACTCAAAAAATTAAATTAAAATTTCCGACGGTTTAAGGAGCTCCCCGGCCCCGTCTTCAAGACTAAATTCTGACAAAATTTATCCAGTCAGATCCATTGATCCAGTCGGTATTTTGCCTTGAAGGAGGGACCAGGGAGCCCGGAAACGCATCGGCAATTTTAATTTGATTTTGTGAGTTGGAGTTTTTTAGTTTCGACTTTCATTATTTTCATTATTTAGCTCACAGTTTGTTACCTCGTTTTCCCTTTGTTTTGTTTGGTTTTTGTTACTTTCTGTTTATTTCAACTATTTGTTTGCGACAATTTGAAGGACTGACTTCTTCCGTTTTCAGGTTTACGCATTCGAGGGTTGTATAGTGATGAAGTTGAAGATGACCCATGGCAGCGTAAAGTCCAAGCTCAGAAAGCAGATGTCAATGTGGAAGCAATTTTAGATAGTAATCTGGATGAAATGGCGTCATCCATTTCTCGGCTGAAAGGTATGTAGCCTACCATCCATTGGTAGATCTTTTGGGTTTGGGAACAAGAGCTCAAAGATGCCTTTGCTGGTTCTGCCAGAGAATATAATACATGAAGCAGGGATGAGCTGAAACAAAATTAGGTGAATTAAGCGACTGACTTTGACATCTACAACTATGAATGGTTGTGGTAATATTGATGAAAAGTGTTTGAAACTCACAAGCGCCAACAGGCCAAATGTGCCTAAGAAATCGGTCATGGCGCCTAAAAAATGATGGCTCTGCGCCAACAAGGCCCCTAAAAGTTGCCCCTCCCTCCTCCTCCCAGCAAAAAATCCTAATTTTTCGAAATTTCTCCCAAGTTACAACTGTAACATCTTGCGTCTAACTTTTCACTGAATGTGCTGCGATATTTAGGCAAAAAGTCAATTTGGCCCCTAAAAAATCTTCAATGGCCCCTAAAACTCGAGCTTGATGAGCCATATGGCTCCCGAAACTCAAAGATGAGTTTCGAACTCTGTTGATGAATTCCAACTTTCGAACCTCCTTCTTGTTAGCTCACTCAGTTTTGCTTTGCTCTGGTTTTGTCAATGTAAAGAATAAATTGGTTTTCCGGAATTTTTACTCTCAACCTCGGCCAAAGAAAAATCTGGTAAATCGGAAAGAATATTATGCACTCGTGTCATATTATCGACCAATACCCCCACTAATCAATAATGATAAAAAACACAACAGCAGAGTGCCCATGGTGATGGTTTAGAGTTTTGTTCAAATGGTCGCTCCTCCTCACACAGCTGATAAGCTAACTACTCAAGTAATCCTTGGTGCAATATCATCAGTTAAAATGACCTGCTGAGCGCAAGTACGCTCTATAATTGTTACAGGTGGGAATGTAAAAGAATTACAGCTGCTATTGTTAATTACCGGTTTAGTTGCTGATAGCGCTAGAGGACTGTGGAGTTTTTATGCACTAAGATAGGGAAATTTCCTAGGTAAATTTTGTTATTTGAGCTGCAATTCTGTCATTGCACTGCAAGAATATCGAAATATCTGGTAGAACAAAATTCAATAACTTGCACAGAATTTTCGTTGTTTCGTAGGCAAATGACATGGACCTTTAAATCAATCTGCGGAGCTGAGCAGCTGAAAAATCAAACTTTTACAATAAGTTTTATTTTTGTTAACGATAAACATAGAAATGTTAACAGGTTCAATTGTGATGAGTATTAAGTAAAGGGTTTCTGAAATAATTATTTCTCTGATTTCAGGTTTAGCTTTGGATTTAGGTGATGAAATTGAACAACAAAATGACCTGATAGACAACATAATGGTGAAAACAGACAAGGCTGATTTCAGCATAAATCGTCAACAAAAAGAGATCAATAGACTTTTGAAGAAAAAGTAAACATATATCTTCATTCCATGTGTACCTACTCAAAAATCGATTTTTAAACTATTTAATTTTTGTTTTTCATGTTATATTTTTATTTGATGTTTTGTATTGTACTCTCCCTCTTGCTCATATGCAAGAAGAGCGGAAGAATTCAAGAGTGCCCTAGAAGCATGATAGCTCAAAAAGGTCAGAGTCAGTATGGAGGTGACCTTTTAAATATTAATATTCAGCATTAATCTTGGATGTTATACATGTTTCAATCCTAAAATTTTCTTCAAGTTATATGTGTTCTCTACAAAGTGATGTTGGTATCGTCAGTATTGAGCTAGGGTGGAAATTAGCATCACAGATTTTTTGGACAATCATTAAAGGGAATGGAGGTATGAATTGTGATCTCAACCTTACAAAGCCTTAGAAAAAAGCCGGTCTTTGAGCTTTTTGAATATTATTATAAAAGAATAACACAAGAACAGCATTATAAAGCTGAAGGGGACAATATGAGCATTGAGATAGATTTTCCTGCTTGTGCAGAGCCTCCTGAAGCTAATTTGTATTAAGCTCATATCCATGAAAAAGATCAGAAAGAAGTGAGCATTAAAGTCTTGCCGCTCTGGCTCCAACTTTTGAATTGAATGGTTCCGTAAATATGCCAGAGAATTTCTTTTACTTCTGTTGCTTCTTACCGTCAAATTATGTTTTCTTCGATTTTAATGATGGAATATCTCACTGTTTGCATGTACCTACAGTTATAAAAAACCTAATTTGATGTGTAATTCCAAAATCTAGATCACATTCATTTGAGAATATTTTTAGTATTTTCATTAATCAGAAAACATACTCAAGGTCACTTTCTCTTACTTTTTTAAACCTCTTCTGATGAGAAAATGCACTGAGGCCTAATTTTTCATACTCTTTGAACAATTTCTTAGTCAATTCAGTTACAATCTAATACCACATGAATCTTTGTTACTTTTGCAACATGCCATGTGTATTTTCTACTTTTTTAAACCAACTTTTTTAAATCACAGCTTTTGAATTTTGACTTTCTTTTACTTTCCTCTCTATTGAGTTGATAGAAGTATTTTAACTCTCACTTATAGTTCATTGAAATGTTAGTTTCTTGTGCCCCAGGTAAGTAGAATCGTAAAAGTAAGAACACAACCATTTACTTAAATGAAAAGTTGGACATTATTTACTATTGAGGAGATTCAATCCTAACATGAGATGCTGTGATTTTAATAGAACGAAAATGAATCCATGGATGAATCTAATGTAACTATGCAGATAAACTCTTTCAATGATAGATGTATTTTAGTTTAATAACATTCAGTAATAGGGTCTTGTCGTTATCACTTGCCAGGAAAATACTTTTCTATTTACTGCCTTGCGAAAAGCGCGTAATGTACTTATGTGTCTTCCTACAACGAGCAGGCTCTAGAATTATCTCCCATGTTACTCTTCATGGCAATTAAGAATATCTCATTGATCAAGTCTAATTCCCTCTCTGTTATTAAGCCGAAATTTTACCCAATTTAAACCAGCTCGAGCTTGAGCCAAAATGTATAGTTTGCTAATTTTTAGAGATAGCAGATTATATTTGAAATTTTGATAGTAACCATACTATAGAAAAAGAAATGAAAGTGGCAGATGAACTGTCCCAATTTTTAAAATTAGCAAACTGATTTGACCCAAGCTCTCTTACTCTATGTTACATCCTCTCGAAGTGCAGGGTTCAACATAATATCTGGCGCCTTAAATCAAATTATTGGCACCCAAATTCTTCATTACAATATTCTTTTCTGTTTGGTTAGGTCATTTTAAAGTTCTTGAGAGGTTGTGAGTGATCACCCATCGTTCAGTCAGGAAATAGCTTAAGCTTAGTGAAGTGTTAGAGGACTGGCTGGCTCTTATCCTTCCTTTTTATCTTTTCCCCCTTCCTTTCCTGCTCTCAGTTTTCTTCTACTTTCTTTCCATTTTCCTGTAATTTCCCATTCTCTTATCTTTTATTTTTCACCTCTCTAATCTTTGTGTTGTTCCATTTGCCTACTGCTACCGCTCCATGATTGTAGGTCTTAATCTGCTTATTATTCTTCGCCCATGGAGTATGGCCTCTAACTGAAGAATTTTATTACTTTTGGCTACTCCCTTATCAATATGTTAGGAGCTTAGACACATGAAACTAGATTGGCAAAGTTCACCTGATTTCTTAATTTTCTCAACTAAAATTCACTTTTTTCTAATTTTTTATGGCCTCTCCTGTGGTTAATGTATGTATGTACTCCCATTCTGAGTTGTTTTACCCCTTTCAAATTTTATGGCATTAAATATAAAATTATACCCATCATCTTTTGTTTTTTCCTACCCTCTTAACCCATCAATTGCTGTAAGAATAAGCTTTTTTTAGGCAACTATGATAAGGAAGTGAATCGGTTTTATTTTAAGATCTAATACACAGCAGCTCTGTGAAATTTCAGCCCTCATGATTCTTGAGGACAGGAGAGAATGTATGAATGTATGAAGAAGAGAAATGGGAGTTCTGCCTTGTGTGAATGGTACGAGGAAAGGGTAGAAACTAACTTAAGCAAGCAGATAGGAACCAAAGCCCCGGTTAGAGAAAGAATGAGACGGAAGTAGTTTTAATATTAGCCATTCCTACATTTTCTCCTGTCCAAAATTAAACTTGAGAAAAATATTTAATTTCTGAAAAAAATGGTTTTTCATCGAAGGATAAAATTAATAAGAATAAAGCATTGGCTGTTGTAATAAAAGTTTGAAATATTTATGAATTTCTTGGAGAAAACTCCCATAACCAAACAGCTGGATCGGATTTGGAACTCTTTTTGTCCTTTTTTGGGTGAAAATACCACCTTGTCATTTATAGCCTATCTTAGGAAATTTCAGCGTACACTTTACATTCAATTTTGCAGGAATGCGTTTTTATCACTTATCCCATTTTAAACCTGCCTCCGGGAAGTCGTGAGTAGGTCAAAGGTACGTGTTGTATCGAAACACTAGCTTTCAAAATTTCGCGGGATTGTTTTTCCCTCCTTGTGAGAACTCAGTAACCAATCGCAAGCTGTCATTTCAATAAAAACATGGCGGTGGATGTAGGCTGATGTTTGTTTACAAACTAATGTTTGTATCCCTTCCCGTATGTATTATCAGCAATGGAAGACCGTGCAGGAGACGGGAATATTGTCAAACTTTTTGTTAATATCAAATTCTATCTCAGTGGAACCGTCGATGAAGAAGTAAGTGAGCTTCTTTTTTACTCATCATGAAATTTCACTTTGTTTCATGAGTTTCGGGGCTTCTTACGACTCAGCCGCTCCTCCTAACCTCTATACCCACTTTTGCTAAGGGTACATATTACTGTTATTATATTAATCATAGTTTGCAAACTGCCAAGGAATTTCTGCAAAGACGTATCATGTGATCGCAATCACCCAATCATATCGAACAAATGCCAGATTCTCCTGATGAACCTCGCCTGCAAATGAGAAACAGACCCGAAGAACTCATGTATCCACGAAGGCATGTAATCAAGTGGTGTCTACGCAGAATAAGTTTGCGCACATTTAGACTGTGACAGAAGATCACCTATCTTGATTCTTGCATCTATTTTCAATACCGAACTGATGTCAGATGAACTTCTGAAGCAATCTAACAGTGTACAAACTTATTTGGTGTGGACTCTACTTTTAACTTAGGAGAAGCATGATCATGTATGTATGCAGGAAAATTGAGGTGTTGTACCCACGCTGTATGTCACATCATGCAATTTCGTCACGGAGTCTAAATCTTTTAATTATTTTGGGATCGAGGTAGATACAATTGAAGTTGTAGAAATTCTGAATCTTGCAGGTTACAGCCATAAGTTGGTGAGGGTCAGTCAAATACATAGCTGTATTGATCAGGTATCAGCTCCTCTCTGAAAAGATGTACATTTTGTGTATAATCAAAAGGGCTGGCTGTGACTGCAAAAGTAAGGAAAGCACCACCTAATCAGTGCTTACATTGGCCTATTTTAGTTGTTGTTTTTTTTTCTGCGTGAAGGAAACGGATCGGTAGAAAATTACTCTTAATATCAACTGGACCACCAGATTTTCCCCTGGTATTCCTGTATATGTGAGGTGCGTTTGTAATTGACATTGGGCCTCAACGGTAATTATCTGGTGAAACGTTGTGAGTATGACGATTGTTCTTGAACCTCCGCTAAGACAAAAATTTTTACTCGGTGACTGTCATAGTGGTTCAATGCTCATTGCAATGGCTCAATGCCTCTTGCGGCTGGTGAATGGAACATTGAGCGTCGAGGAGGTAAACGAAGTCACTCGACAGAAGTTAGGTCTTAGTTAGACAACCGGTAACTCCGCGGGTAATTGAGTGAAATAATCTCCATTGTCTATTACAAATCGACAGTGTAAGTCGGCAATCACATAACTCGTTTGCGGTTTCTGAAAATTTCCGACTGTTTGTTATTTTTTTAAAGGAGAACAAATTGACATCATTCCTTGAAGTTTTTGCAAGATTATCTTCGCACAGAGTAGAAAAATCACGGCAGTTTTAAAAAATTGTTGTTGAGTAGTTTTCCGTTTAAAAAATAAAGTATGACAGGAAGTCTGCGACGTCGCATACCGAGTTGTGGGATTGCCGACTTGCACTGTCAAAATGCACCTCTGTCTCACCATGCAAGAGCATTTTTCAAACCTTCTACATTTTTAATTTTTGGAACGATCGACGCAATTTCCATAAAATTGGGAGTGAAGTAATGAAGGCCTCTCTGTTTGCTTAAGTTTTCTTTCATCTAAAGTTAGTTCCTTTACTCCATGCCAACCAAGTCAATTGACTCAATAAGTAAGGTGGAATACCTGCAATCTTTAGTATTGCATTTACTTTCAATCAGTATGTATTTTGATGGCGTCTTGTCTACAATCACACTCAGGAAGTCGGTCAACTTTTTAGACATGGTCTCTAGACCAGGTAGTTTGTCAGATTCCATGAGAATTGCTTTTTGCATTTTTATCTCCTTCCTTTGATCTATCATAGTGAAAAGTTTCAACTCACGGAAAGTTACTGCTAATATTTCTCTGATTGATTCTGTTTGGTTTCGTTTTACAGGTTAAAAAAGCTTTGCAAGATGGAGGTGCTGAACCACTCACGTATATGTCAGACTTTGTCACCCATATTATACTGGGATTGGATCCATCAGAGAACGATATATCTGAGGCAAAGGATCTGTATGATATTCCTGCTGTCCGTCAAGAATGGGTGAAAGAATCCATCCGATGCAAAGAATTACTACCGTATCCTTTAGTCCAACTAGATTATTTTAGCTCTGTTGCATGAACCATTAATCACCAAAATTTTTTCTTTAATAGCAGTTACCTGTGTGCTGCTGCATTTTTTCATTCGAAAAGCTGCAGTGTCTCTAAAACTTACTAACAATACCAAAACTTCATTGCAACTTATAGGGTGGTTTTCAAAAGAAAATCATTCTATCTACTCATTTTAAGCTGAAGAATGTCAGATCAGGTTATCTTTCATCAGATTTTCTGCAAAATTTTATATTATGAACATTGCAAGTATTTAATTATCACTTAGCGTTCAGTACTTCCTTAACTCATTACCTTAGAACTCAAGCCTTCCGTCCCGCCGAAGATTGTGTTTTCTGGGGTCTGAAATTTTGCTCCTCAGGATTTAAAAAAAGCGATTACAACAAGTTATGGGCAATGGTAAAGTTTAATGGAGGCGATTGCAGTAAGATGCTAGATCTATCAGTGACGCATTTAGTTTGCACTAAACCAGAGGGTGTAAGTTTCTAAATTCATTCAGCTCCTTTCAGATTCCCATGTGTCTAATGTTTTAAGCTAGTACATCATCCAAAGTAATTAGATTGAAAAATGGAAAGGGAAAACTTCCTAGAACTTGTGTCAGATAAGTTGGCAGTTGTTTACTTTCCGTTTGAAAGCGACTGCTGCTGCCATCCAATAGCGATGCAGGATTGACTGAAAGCAACAACAACACCATTCTGCTGTTTTGCGCTGATACTGAAAATCATTGCTTTTCTCTGAGGAGGTGTTGCTAAATTTGTCTGCTGCGTATTTCAGTCAGAAGTAATCAACCGCCAACTCATCTGATGCGTCGAGTTCTACCCATCTAGTTCTACCCCTCTACATACCTTTTGTACTCAAGAGACGAAAGAATGCGAAAGTGGGATTTCTTAAATTTTCTCTCCCATTCTCAGGTGGATGCAGGTATTTTAAAGTAATTTCTTCTTTGGGAAGAAGCATTGAGAACCTCTTTATTCATTAAATTTTGAAATTTAATTAAATAAATCACGAAATTTAAAAAATATATCATGAAATAAATAAGGGGCTTGGAGGACAAGTGCAGTTATATGGACAAATATGTGTTTAAATTCAAAAATTACATGGAGCCATATGATGGAAAGAAAGTTCAAACTCACTTTTTGATGCTTTAAAATTAAATTTTAGTTTAGAATTTTTCTCAGAATGTATATTTCATGTCTATTTTAAGATGAAATCATTAATATCTCAATTTTTTCATAAACTACACTCACCTATCCCCGTCTGCCAAGCCCCTCATATCTCCTTAAAACATGAACTTTAATTTTTTCCCTCTTTGTTTCCAGAAAAAATATGATTTTGCCTGTGGTAAAGGCTGTGATCGTGTAAAAATAGTGACTCCTGATTGGATCCAAGATTGTATTAAAGGCAGTACGATCTACAATGAATCCTTATATCATCCACGTTTGTTGAACCTACCTAAGTCTATCCTGAATCGTAAACCAGGTAAGTTTGACACTCATTTTAATTATGTATACATTCGTTGACTTCTCATTCAAATGACTTCAGTCAAGGCTCTCTGCTGTAGAAGGAATTGCCTTTTTTAAATTATGAACTAATTTCATTCTTGTTTATTATAAGAGGTCAGACCTCCTTTTGGGTGAGCTTACTTCTTTTGTCTGTTGGAGCTGACACCTTATCTGTTCGATGAGCAAGCAAATGAAGAGGGCAACCATATCTGAAACAAGGCTTAGCAATTTTAAGATGATAGATTGTAAAGTCATGTAGGTAATCAAAATCAGATTTAATTATCTAGTTCCGCATGCAGATGGGCCAATGAGCAGGCCTATGGGACCCTTTTTTTAAAGAAATGGATTCCCCATGCTATACTGCATATCGACGGTGAAACTACCAAACCACGTATCTCGTTTGCGGTGTTTAAAAATCTACGCTCACATTTTATTTTTTGGAAGTAGACCAAATCAATATCATTCCTTGAAATTTTCACAGAATTTTCTCCGAGCAAAGAGGAAAAATCACAAAAATTTTCAAGACTGGACGTTAAATAGTTTTTCATTTAAAAAATAAAGTATGACAGGAAGTCTGCGACGTCGCAAACCGAGATACGTGGTTTGGTAGTTTCACCGTCGATATGTGTACAAAGTTTGGTTAATTCCTCAATTTTTGAAACCAGCAGACCATTTGTATTTTTCAGGTAATAGGATACAGATAAGGGATGTATTCATAAGAGTCCTAGGGGTAATCGAGTATCATTCATTCTAAGTCGCCCCCCCCCCCTTCTGACTGCTTTCACAGTAAAAAGTGGAGAATATTTTTAGAGTTTTCAGTCTCTGTGCTTGTAAAAATGCCACTTTAATCGCTATCAGCCCGTAAAACGTTCGCAGAATTTTGGTTGACTTCTTCTTCTCAAAACCGATGTATTTTGACAGCTTTGCACTTGATATTTGGCCACCAGAAGAGGAGTAAGTTAAATCACTGTGCAATGTACTTTCTCCGCAAAATTTCAGGAGGGAAATGAATTGCACAGCAAGAAGTCTGAAAATGAACCCCTGAACAAGATGTGTGTTAACAATTAACATTTGTCAAATTGGAGAAATAAAAATGGGATCATCTGTATTATGTAACTTTCATTTGATCTGTGTTTAAAATACTTGTAAATATCTTGTTCAGGAGTTGACACCTGAACTTCCTGTTGTGTAAATCTTTTTCTGCATAAGATTTTGTAGAGAAAAAATGTAAAAAATTTTCCTAGTTCCTTGTCTTGTGGCTGATTAAAAAATTTGGACTTGGAATTTGGTCAATGCTTAGTTGTATACCTATCACTTTTTTAAAAAATATCTCTGAAATTTGTGACTACTGATTCATTTCTAGCAACAGGGTCCAAAACTGAAAATCTTCATTAATTCTTCTCAAAACATTCTCTAATAGTTTTTGAGTTTCATCCTTAGCAGACTTTAGTTCCTATGGAAACAAACTTTGATTTAAATCATTTAACTCCAACTTTAGTCATCCTTAGCAAATATTAAGCAAAATTCAATGAAATTTCTCAATTCATAATCTCAAAACATGATTTTCCCGGATGAGTCCTTCTTCTTATAAGCTTCTCAGTTGGTTCTCTATCAATATTTTAAACAATCAATCAAGCAATCAATTTCCTTGAATCTTAAAAATTACACATACCAAATATTTCATTTTAATAATAATAATTTTTTTGTATTCATTTTATTTTTATTTTTTTAAATTTTTTTTCGAGATGAAGGTATTGCAGCGATAACAGGATTTGTTGATGATGAGCCAAATACTGAGTCGACTTCTCAGTCCTCTCTTAGTAATGAGCTTCTGGAAAAGTTGAAGCAACGTATGCCTTGGAATCAACCTGTCTCAACACCCACTACGCCAACATCAGCTGCTGTCCAGGTACTTTTCAAAATTTTCTCCAACAATGTATAGATGGATATCTATTTGACCATGAGCAGACTAACGAGAGCATTACATGAAGCAATCATGGAAAAATAACAGAGTGCAGTTTGGTCCCTTTATTTGGAACATATTGACGGTGAAACTCCTGAAAAACGTATTTCGGTTTGTGACGTTGCAGACTTTCTGTCATACTTTATTTTCATTGTGAAACTACTTAACATCAGTTTTTGAAAATCTCAGTAATTTTTCTTCTCTGTTCAAGGAAAATTTTGAGGAATGATGTTGATTTGTTCTCCTTCAAAAGAACTAAATGGGGATGGAGATTTTAAAACATGGCAAACGAGTTATGTGGTTTGGGAGTTTTGCTGTCGATATACCTATGTTTACTCTGCCAAGGTCAAGCCACACTGACCCTGTGGAGAGAGGGTCTCTGAGCTTGCCCTGGTAATAGGTTTGGTGTGTTTTGATTGGTATTTTAGGAAAATTTGACCATATCATTTATTTTTTAAATAACATGGCCCGAAATTTAGGAAAATGATAGGAATATCAGGTTAAAAGTATTTCTTAAGCTATCTTTTCTGAGTTTCACTCTAAAATTATATTCCTTTATGTGACGCTATCTTGTTTACTTTCAGAGTGCAAATGGGCCTGTTTCCAGCTCCGGACCAGTTTCTCAATCCTCTACAACCGTATCTTCTCAAATACCTCAGATGCTGTCTCAGGCTCGGCCTAATACAACCCCTGTTAGCCAATCAATTCATCAAATACAACAGCAACAACAGCAATTAACTCAACAACAGCAGATACGTATACAGCAGCAGCAAGAACAGCAGCAACATCAGCAGCAACAACAACAGCAGCAGCAACAACAACAACAGCAGCAACAACAACAACAACAACAACAGCAGCAGCAACAGTTACAACAATCACCTCAGCAACAACAGTCTCCTCAGAAACAGCAACAATTACTTCAATCATCCCAGCAACAGCAATTACAGCAGTTACCACAACAACTGCAGCAAGTATCACAACAACAGCAGCTTCAGCTGCAACAGCAGCAACAGCTACAATTACAGCAACAGCAGTTGCAGCAGTCCCCACAGCAACTCACTCAACAGCAACAGCTTCAGTTACAACAGCATCGAAGGTGAGCTTCTAATGTGTTAGAGATTCAATGTTTGGCGAAAGTATCGAGCATTCTCTCAGAGATAAAGAAACCTTTTAACAGCATGATTTGTGGGTCATTTTTAGTCTCTGTGCAAAAATGTGAAGGATGCGAAAATGGGTTTTGAAATTGGGAAAGCCACAAAGAGTGGTTTAAAAAAAAGAAGGCTGGTATGTGCTGCTTAGGAAATGGTGCTTTTTGTATTGTACAAAATTGTGACTGACTGTAAATAAAGATGCACAAATAAAAGAAGAAGAAGACAACATAGAAGTCATTTTTCAATATAACTTTTATGGAGGAAGGGTTTTTAAAATGGGATGGCCCTGTTTAATTAATAACAAGGCTAAGAACACTCTGCATCCCTGTACCGCTTTAGACATAGAATTCTTGATCTTACCTATGTGTTTAGAAAACAAGCTAAGTTGCTTGTTTGAAGAAATATGTATTCCATGTCATTTCATTTGGCCATTTAATCCTCTGCCCCAGAATTTCATGGACTTTTTTCTACATGCTCTATTAATAATAGACATAAGGTGTTGTTATTAGCTATCAATTAGCACAAAATACCAATTCACCCATGATTTTATTTTTAGAAGTTTTGTAGGAGATAAGTAAAACTTATCCCTTCCCGATTATATAACTGAATTTTCTTCTGTGTCAAGCATTTTCTTTTTCCAATTCTCAGGATGCAGCAAATTCAACATTTATCTCCTCAGCAACAGCAACTGGTCCTGCAACAGCCACAGACAGCTGTGCAGCAACAACTGTTACAGCAACGCATCCTCCTTCAACACCAGCAGCAACAACGATTTGCTGCTGTTCCAGCTCAATGGCGACCCCAAGGGACAAATATGGTAAGAGCTTGTGCTTTTCTTTTGCATAGTGGTCTTATTTTCAAGGTCTGCATCATGCCTTGCTCATCGTGACTCAGTGCATTTAATTATCTGGGTTGATTTTCCGTAACATCAATTCTCAATTTTGTTTGCTGCTGTATCATTCATTTTTGGAAATTTGGTTATTAATTTTATAGAATATATGAATATAATCAGCCAACTTCCAAACAATTTCTCAACCTTTAAACAAAGTTTGGGTGAATGTTCATTTTTTTGTTTGTATGTATGGGCGTCACTTTGAAGGAACGTGGATTGAACATGACGCTATGAAACAGAATTTTAATCTTAGCATCCTACAATTGTTCCAAAACCCTGTGACATATGGATTTTTTCAAGAAGTTTTTCTCCCTGTGACTTTAACAGGATCACTCTATGTAATTAGTTCAAGGATGTTAATAATTTCACAAAAGTAAGCCTCTCCAGCCTCACTCCTTAACTCAGGCTTTTGCCCTTGTCCTGTAGCTGCTGTGAATTGTTGGTGCAGGATTCATGATCTGGTGTTCAGTTCCATTTGTAGTCTATAGTCCATGTACGAAAAATCCTGTGAGTGGACTCGGATAAGTCTGCCAAGTTTCAGTGGAAATGCTTTATGTGGCAAGCATGACATCATCCTAAAGTGATGAGATTGCTCTCTCGTGTCATGCATCACCTGGTCTCATAGCTCATTCTCATAAGCTCATCAGCGGTTTAGTTTGACTTGGGGCTCAATGGGGATACCGCACATTAACGCACTCAAACGGATGAGAATGCATGCTGTCTCATCTGTCTTGGAACGCTTGCATCCATGAAACTGGCAGCTAACTTGACTCGACATCCCTGTTTAATTATAAATTTGAACGTATTGATTGTTGAATTGAAGTATGATGTTCAAAACAAACATCAACCTCTGGGCACCACTAGAACTGATGGCCAAACTTCATTGAAGCAATGGTTCATAGAAAGCTGAGGAGCACGCGTTCCTCGAACTGTCCAATACATGTCTCTCAACTAGTTTATTGGAAGGCAAAATGCATTAACGAGATTGAAAGTAGATGATACCTTTCAAACACTTCTCCAAACTTTGAAAATTCCAAGTCTGTGAGGCTACAATTATTTAATTTTGATCCTGAAAATTGTCAACAGCAACTTTTTCTACTAATTAAGACATAAGTATGGTTTGATATGAGATACAATGTATTCTGAGGTTTTAATCATATGACATCGCCAAACAGCATTTTTCAATCCTTTTTCCTCTCCAAAAAGGGCACTTTTTAGGCATGTCCTTTCTATAAAAATAGTACATTTCACATGCAGAAACAGTATTAGGTTTTGTTCTGAAAAATTTCTTCATTTTTCTGCTCTGAATATACGATGAACTTCAAAATTAATTACCACATTTTTTTGCAACTGTATATTGCTCTTCCCCCCCTCCAATTTTGTCCTCTGGATTCCTTGAAAACTTCTTAAATTTTAATATGTACCTTTAGAGGGCAATTAAGCCTATTATATCACCAATAGTTCTGCAGGGCCAATGTATTGTTCTTTATTATCCCCTAAAATCTTTTTTGAGATCATTAAAGCCTTCTAGCCTTACACTCTAAAATCATAGACACAGTATCTCCCTTCCTTGGTGCAGTTAGACTAACTTTTTTTCCATTACTACTCCTGTACTTCCGTAGCCATTTTTTCATTCTTCTATTCTCACTTTTTTTCTCAGTTTTTAATCTGTAAATATTGTTGATAGGTTAACAGGATGAAGCCATCTTCAAGACTGATTTTTGGAGATTAATTTTCAATCAAAAATCAGTCTAAGTATATTTGATCAAGGTATAAAGTCATTTACCACCAATCCGTACCCAAAATTGGACAGAATATAGTAATGGTCAGCAAGTTCGTGAACAACAGCCGCTATTTTTTCATGCGGGCTTTAATTTTGTCGAATCTTTATTTTTTAAATTTAAGACTATTATCTCCGGGCAACAGTTTGTGTGCCCTAGATGTTCATGTATGTAAGCTTTGGTAAAATTGAATGGTGTCAACTAAAAAATTTTCATTCCATGTTGCTTGATATTTATCTTTCTAGCAGCAGCAACAGCAGCCACCCCAACAACAACAACAGCAACCAGAACAGCAGCAACAAGAACAACTACAACAGCAACAGCACCAACAACAACAGCACCAACAACAACAACAACAACAGCAGCAACAACAAGCATCACAGCATAAACTAGTTCAACAACAATTTGTTTTGCGTAATGATGGCCAGCTCTTGCCACAAACTCAAAATGTCATCCAACAACAGCAACAACAACAGCAAACACAGGTCCAGCAACAAAATCAGCAGCAACCACAGCAGCAGCAATTCTCTAGTGTTTCTCAGACTTCAAGCACTGTTGTTACATCTCAGCAACAATTAAGCTGGCAACAACAGCAATTATCTCGTGTTCAACAGTTGCAACTGCAGCAACAGCAACTACAGCAACCGCAGCAAAATTTACAGCAGCAGCAACAACAAACATTGCAACCACAGCAGCAGTTGCAACAGCCTCAGCAACAATTGCAAGCTCAGTTACAACAGCCACAGCAACAATTGCAACAGCAACCACCACAACAGTTGCAACAGTTACAGCAACTACAGCAGCCACAACAGCAATCACAACAGCAACAAGCACAGTCAGTTTTACAGATTGGACCCTCAAACATTCGACAAGTTACATGGAGTCAGCAACCAAACAACCCGGTATTGTGGAATATTTAACCCTAAGCACGAATTCAGCATGGTATTTTCTCTCTCTTTTCAAACCAGTAAATTCTAGTTTTTCTCTTTAGTACTTGCTTGTTATTTTTTGGTGTTCGGTATCTTTGAGAAAAGGTTTTCCTGCAGTAAGTGTTCAACTGGAAATGTTACACAGATCAAGTTTCCTTTTCCTTGACCCCAAGATCAAGGAAAAAAATGTACCTTTTGAACAGTGAACAATCCTCAACTATGCCTAGTCTGATATCAGAATTTAATGGCTTGTAAACAGTCAAGTTTTTGGGGAAAAATTCCAGAATTCCTGTATCCTCTTTTTCCCTTCTGGAACTCATGAGCAGTATTGTGTGGGTAGCAACTAATTAACACATTAATGCTCAAAATAATACTTGATGATTTCTTGTCAAAAAATCTTTTGAGATTTTTACATTTACCGTAAGAAACAAAGAACTTGCATGAATTTAGCTAAAGTTGGAAAGTACTTGGTTTCGCATTATTTTCTGCTTTTGCAGCTTCAATTTCAAACACATTTTATTTTTCTTAAATGTGTGCGACTTAAACTGTGTTAACGGATGCCACCAAAATAATTTCTATTACAGAGAAAACAACAATAGTATTCTTGCCTAGCTCAAAGCAGAACACATTTCTTAAAGGATCTCTCAGTATAATAAGTGACACTGGAAGTGTCATGCCAGAGGAGGGGATTCGTTCAAACTTAAAACATGTGCCTCTTCAATTAATGATTTTAGGATATATGTTGAGGAGGTGCCCTCTAATGAATTAAATATTGTGTACTGTGTGGCATGAGAATTTAAAGGCAATATTTTTGCTGTGGACATTGATAATGTGATCTGAAGACATCAAATAGGATTTAAATATTGTTGCACGTGCACATTCATGCCAAAGTGCTCCTCTTGGTTAAATGGCTAGTGTGTTTCACAGCTTATAATGCTGTGATGAGTGGATTTCCTCACTTTGCATGTTTCCTCTGTCTCTCAGTTTGATCTGAAATTTTTCGACAAACTTTTTTTCCCTTGTGGATTTTGCAGCACCATTAATACAGGTTTGTCAGTGCCTCCTGAGTTGCACCAATCATTAAATTCAACAAAATGAGAAATATTGTTTTTGATATAAAACATTTTCACAACTTTGTCAGTATGCCAAAAATTAATCATTGTTTGAAATCTAGGATTATTCGTAAAATGGTCTAAAAAAGCTTAGCAACTGCCGTCTGTGTCCAGTGAGTGCAAAACTTTAGGGTAGTCACAGGGTTTGTACTTCAAGGCAAGAAGCAGTCTATCGTAATGCACTAGTTATTACTAGTGCAGGAATGGATCTTTGAAAGATGCCTTTGTTTTGTAAAATCTTTTACATATGCCAAACCAAATCAAATCACTTCTGTGTCTTTCTTTCTTTCATACATTCCTGCCTCTGAAACAAAGCAATTTTTACATCTAAGTCAGAGTGATATCATCCTTTTACTAACTATGCTTTCAACGAATGAAATATTCTCATTTGGAAGTATATCCTCTCACTCAGCTCCTCATTGCATGTGGTACAGAATTAATTGTGCTTATTAAAAATGAAACTCAGTCTCTCTTTTAATCATCAAAAGGCTGAAAATTTGAAATTAATTGAAGTATGTGCACCTAAGCATGATTTTAAATTTTTTTCTATGTTCGTTTCCTCTCTTACTGTGGACACTCCTCTCTTACTCTCTTATTTATTGAAATGGAACCTGGTGACACTGACTTGGAGCGGAAAAAAATAGGTTTAAAGTCTCCCTGAGATTCTATGTATGAAACAAACTTCAAGTCGATTTAATATATTAATTACATTTTATTGATGCCGATTTTTTGGCGAAACAATACGTTCCTTTAGGTGAGCTCAAAACTATCCGCAACGTTAGAGAATGTCTTTTGGTTTTCTTTTGCTAAACACTGTTCATTTGTCTTATAATTTATTTAGTTTAACCTTAAGACTGTGAACTAAAACTTTCTTTTTTGCTTGTTAGCCTTTTCTCAACTCCACTGTTTTTTTTTTTTTTTTTTTTTTTTTTTTAACATCAGCGATTGGAGTTTAATTTTTTCTTTATCTCTCTCGCTTTGTTTTGCTGCAGAATCTCAACCCCCTTTTGTAATCTAGAAACTTGAAAAAAATCACTCATGACAACTTAAGTAACACTAGCAATGTGCGAGTGGAATTGATTATATTTAATTTTGATCCAGTTTGCATGAACAAGTAGTTAACTTACAGTACTATCAAATGTCAAGGTACATCTCAATTCTTGATGATTGTTACTAAAACCTTCCCAAAATTAGTTGAAAATTTGGTTACTTTTCATTTGAAAAATTAGCATCTAAATTTTGTGTCTCAAATTCATTTATAAAGATGCTTTTTATAGAATGGAAAGCATAACATGCAACATACAAAACTGAAATTTTATACGAATTTTTTTTTTTTTTTTTTTTTTTTATTCACGCAAATATAGTGATGAAAATTTTGTAACTGTGGACGATAGAATTTTTATGTGAAAAAGAGCAAAATAGGTGTCCTAACCACGATATTTTAACAGTTTTTTTTCTAGTGTTTTTTCCGTGCAATTTAAGAGTTCTTTAACCCCTTTTTTTGAACAGTCAATGCTACTACCAATGCTATTACCATCAAATAATGAAAAATACATCATCGTGTGTAAATCACTTGTAGCCTCTTGTTATCATTTCATCCTCTTCTCTGCTCCTCTCAATATCTTCAACTACTTCAATTGTATGTTTTCTTTTTTGGCAGAATGCCCCTCAGCGCCATTTAATCCACGTTGATGCAAAGGCTCATGCCCAGTTACGGCAAATGGATCCAACTTTAAGGACAATTTTTCTTCAACGAATTAATAAGCAGCAACAAGCCATTTATCAACAGCAGTTGCAGGTAATCAATGGTTATATTTTACAAAGAAGTCATGTGAGGTTTTCAAGATATGTGTATTGGTTAAAATTTTCACAATGAATGCCTTTACACGTTCAAAAAAAAAAATGTCAGGATTCAGCATATTCATAACTATAGTTAAAACTGCAAAAATTGATGGCCTCCTTACAATTAATCCTCTCGCACAACCCCCCCTCTCTAAAAAAAAAGAGATTTTTTTAAAAAAAATTCTCTCCCCCATCATCTCCCCTTTTCTTCATTTCCTCATTGAATGTTTTAAGATTTTAAATTAAGGATTTAAATTTTTCCATTTTTCTCGCCACTCACATACCTACATTAAATATGGTTTTTTCCTCGACATCTGAACATTCAATTTTCTGTTCCCGTTTACAGAAGCAACAATTACAGCAGCAACAACAGCAAGTTGGAGGTGGCACTCTAGTCAATGCAGTTGCCCCAGGAAGGCAGACAGTGGCTACAACTGTCATCAGAGGTCAAATTCCCCAAAATTTAACGCCACCGCAGCAGATTCAATGGCTTCAGCAGCAGCAACAGCAACAACAACAGCAGCAGCAACAACAACAGCAACAACAGCAGCAACAACAGCAGCAGCAACAACAAATTGTCATCCAGAATCAGTCTCTCCAAAGGCAGCAGGTAAAGACCAATGTAATATCACAATTTTAAGTTTAGTTTTTCTTCTCGTCATTTTCTAAATGCAAATGCATTTTCACAAGTTTGTTCGACTGCTTGTATAACTAAGAGTACAAGAAGTTTCTGATTACCCAATTTATCCTCCAAAACTCTCTCTAACTTCAAAAGATCTTAAAATTGTGAGGCTGTTGCAAAAAACTTACAGTAAAATAATAACTTCAGACGAGGGGCCAATTTTCGTCTGCAGAGTCACTTTCAAAACATATGGCTAAAGTTGCCAGGATTAACAATCTACCAAGATTAGTTCTAGGGTAAGCATGCGCCCCTGAAATGGTTAGGAGAAATCAACATCTAAAGCCAGGAAATTTGTGATTGAAAATTGTAAACTGTTGCTAATTTTTTATTTTTCAAATTCCTAGGTTCTAGTTCAACAGTCCTCAGTCAGACAGCAGCTCATTCCACAACAGCAAACACAACAACAGCAACTGCTGGTCCAGCCGGCATCATCAGCATCTACAAATGTAACTAATTGGCAGCAGCAGTCACAGCAAGTGGTCCAACAGCAGCAAGTAGTGCAGCAAGTCGGTCAACAGCAAGTGGCTCAACAACAGCAGATTGTGCAACAAGTTGTGCCCCAGCAGCAGGTTGTTCAACAGCAAGTTTCCCAACAGGGACAACCAGACCAGCAATTACAACGTAAGTCTCCATTTGCCAGGTTTCTGCAAAACCAATCCACACAGGTTAGTCATTCCTGTATACGTGTTCTGAAACTCTACTGCACAGTGACATAGAGCTGGCTGTTTTTACAGCAGGAAATTTAAAAGCAATGTACTTTTTATGGGAGCAGCCAATGTAACGCCACTCTAGCTGCGACGAGTGAAGGCCAAGCGGAAGAGTGGATTCCTAAAAGATGCGCAACGACTGACCTGTGTGGACTGGTCTTGGGTTTCTGTTTTTTAGCCACTGAACATCATAGTCGGATTAATCTCAGGTCAGGGGAAATGAAAGTGAGTAAAGATAAGCTACCTTTTGTTTACGTTTGTCAACAGTTTTCAAGAGACTTTTAAAACATCAGAACTCAGCAAGAAATTGACTGGAATTAACTGAAAAATCAATAAAATTGGAAAAGTTACTGTTTATGCTTGAGAAGGTACAAAACTTCAATGGCAGGCAAGATATTAAGGAGGCAGTATCTGCTTGCCATAAGTGACTCTAGAGATAGCGCGCTTGTCACCCATGGATTGCAAAACTACTAAACCGTGTATCTGAGTTGCAACATAGCACATTTCCTGTTGTACTGTATGGTTTGAAAAAATGCCTAATCAGCATAATTGCACAACAATTTTGTAATTTTGTTTGATTGTTTTTTGCCTTTCCAAGAATATTCTTTGAAAATTTTGCCCAAAAATGTCTTGCAATATTTTCTTAAAGAAATGAAATAGGTTAAAACAGAAATTCGAAAACACTGCAATCAAAACTTATTCTATTTTTAATAAAACAATCAAAATTTTTTAATAAACAGTAAAAGCTGTGTTAAAACTTTTAAAATTTTTTCGAAAAACTCACACTTTTAGTGTGACGTAACTTTACCCAACTTGACCTCTTTAACCACTTAGTGAAAGTGTGAGTTTTTTTAAAAAAAAAAAAAAAAAAAAAAAAAAAAAAAAAAAAAAAAAATTGAAAGTTTTAAGACTTATTCTATTGTGGTTTCACTATTGGTATTCTACTTCTATCAATGAAAATGATGAATGTAACCGATTTTGAAGATAGCAGAGGGATAGTACATGTCTGGAAAACCAAGGAAACTAGGAATTAATAGTGAATTTCATCAGGTCAGAGGAAAAGTCCACGAGTTTGATTAAAAAAGACTGGAAAGAGGTTGTTCCATCCCCCATTAGATTTGGCCCCCTATCAGATATGATCCATCTTTTCAGGAGTGATACAGTAGCATGCGAGACGTTCAAATATGGCGGTCATTTTGACTTAGGCCCCCCAGAGAGGGGGGGGCGGGGGGTCAAAGTCAAAACCTTCAACTGCCTATAACTTTTGAGCGAAAAATCGGATTGAGTTGAACTTTTTTTAAATGAAAGATCTCAAAAAGATCTATCTGCTGATACCAGAAAAATTGAAAAAAAG